GGTATCCAATTTTCCGTTCAATGGGTTTGTCTCCTCTTCCTGCCATAGTGGATACTTGAGGTTCGGGTTCTTCTGGTTCTTCGGGTTCTTCGTCGTAGTCTTCTTCTTCCTCGTCGTCAAGGTTAAGCGGTGGAGCGTCGGGGATTTCTTCGTCTTTATCAACGGGTGGGTTTTGGGGGTGTTCCTGCTGCGACGGTTCTTGGTTCTGGGATAATCCTTCCTCAAGCGAACTATATCCTATTGGTGATGCAATGACCCCTCTGGTTATAGCGGATGGTCCTGCTAATAAGGATGAGAACGGTTTCTGGGGAGTCTGAGTGGGAGTTCTTTCTGTTCTGGGGTACGGGTCTCCTCCTAGAATTCTTCCGGCGGCGTGTCTTGCCTTAGCCGAGTTTAGCTTCTGGGAAGACGTCTTGTCTTTCTATTCTGGGTTCAGGGTTTCAGGGTGAGTGGGTCCCTCGGTGATAGAGGGGTTCAGAGTAACTTGAATCTTTTGTTACGACTTGGATAGTTCTTGCGTAACTAATCCAATAAAGGAGTTCTTCGTGTTACGACGTTCAGTTCAGACACTTGAGGGGCTCTCCCTCTAAGTGAAGTTCGAGTATAGGCTAGTCTCTATAAGAGCTAGATCGGAATCAAGTATCTTCCTCAGAAGATAATCAAGTATCAGAGAGAACCAAGTAGATTCAAGTTAGAGAATACAAGCGTGACTACTGCGGTATTTATAATGGGCAAAGGAGGCACGGACCAGGCCGACTATGGAAGTGAAAGGAGTCAAGAAGATCATCATAGAACTATCTGGAATGTTCATGCAGTGCATGTTGATAAGCAGCCAAAGATAACAAGAATAGACGGAAGTATCTAGAATGTTCATGCAGTGCATGTTGATAAGCAGTCAGAGATAACAGGAATAGATCGGAGAAGCATGATGATGAGAAAATGATGGGGCCGCTGTAACACTGATGGGCCAGGGTGGTGCAGTCAGTTTGATGTAGGAGCTGCGCAAAAAAATCCTCATCTATCAATCTTCAGCGTCACAGCGTGTCAGTGGTTTGACAATATAATTCAGCTGTAAGGTTAAGGTTTCTGTGCCACATCTTCAACCCATACTGTGAACAAATATATACAAACATGTGTTGCATGGTTTTGCAACATGCAAACAACTGTAACTGAAAACTCATAATACACTCAAACACATTTTACATTCCAAAGACAATATAGGGCAAACATTCTTCCAAATATGGTGTTATAACTGCACTTTTATTATTTGCATGTTCTGCAGCTTGCACACTGTGTGGTTTCATCAGTTGAGAGCTAGGCTGATCTCAGTGTCACTATAACAATCATGCAGAAGACAATGGGATTTTTTCATATATTTCATACATATATTCTTGTACCTGGTTAGGTTATTCCACATATAGAAAACCGTTGTAGTGACCAGTTCCTGTATAAGCTTACTTTACCCCTATCTACCTTACTTATGTTGGCATTTGGATTGCTTACATAATGATATTGGTCTTTACCCGGTGCAGCCTCCTCCTCACCTCAGGTCTCGCACCTCCAGGTTCAGGTTGATGAACTGCGCAGACAAGGAGCTGAGACAGTAGGCACAGTCAATCAGGTTCTCGCACAAACCTGGCGGGCTGTTGAAAAGCAGAACAAGGTTGCCCAGCAAATGATGGCCTCTATTTGTGCTGTCTCGACCTCTGCAGCATTGTCCTCCAGATATGCATCTCTCGAATCTATGTGTGGCCGCCTTGAAGAGCGCATGGTCCGTTACCGAGAGACCCTCGAGGCAAAGCCTTCGGCCGCTCAGTGCACAAGGGTCGACATTCTCTTAGCAGAAACAGAGTGTGAGTATCACCGTGTCGACAAGGAGAGAGACACGGTTGCCCAGCAGCTATCCGCTTTGCAATCTGTACAGGGCACACAGTTCCTCGGTCAATCTGTACCTCATCACCCTGACGCGGAACCCTCTCAACCTCGAGAGCATGGAAATGATGTTGTGATGTCTCATGAGAGGCCACCTCCTGAGGAGGATGATAACCGTCGTTTTGAACCTCGTCAGTGCATGTCTCACGATGCTGTTTCAGCATCTGCTGGCTCTAATGATGCGGACCATATGGAACAGGAGGTATGCTGGCCCTCCGCAGTCCTTTTCACATACCTTCTGACTGTCACCGGCCGTCTGTTCCACAGTGAGTGGGTAGACAGTGGGAGAGGTCAGAGTATGGTCCACGAATGAGCAAAACGGCACTTGCCGTTATGCCAACCTCCCATGTCTTTTGTCTTTCGATCCTTGACCACGATTTCACGTTCTCTGCTTTGCCTTCTTTTCGCTTTCACTCAATGGCTGCTTGCTTTCACCTCCCTTCTTTCGTCTACTGCTTTTGTTATTCTTTTTGCCTTGCTTCTTTGTGTAATGATTGTTCACGCATCCCACCCGCTTCACATTGTATCCCTTAATGCCAATGGTCTGGGAGATCTCATGAAATGTAACGCAGTTTCGTCTATGATCCAACAGTATTGGCCGCACATCTGGGTGATTAACGAGACCAAATCACCCACACCTGCGGTTTCCCGTGTTCATGCTCCCGGATATCACACGTACGAAAACTCAGGTGTGCGTATTGCGGGCTCTCCTGCTCATGGCAAATGGGGAGTTATTCTTGGCGTCTCTAACATGATTCATGCTCAACCTGTTGACACCTCCTTTGATTCATCGCTGACTGGCAGAGTTCTTGCTGTTGATATTGTCATTCCCACAGCAAATGGTGGTTTTCCTCACCGTCTCATTGGTGTATACGCCCCGTGGGACCCTGGTGTCGGTCCTCATCCTGATTCCTCATCTGCATTTTGGCCGTCAATCACACAGCTTTGTCAACAATCTCCCTACTCTTGGTCTCTCATTGGAGACTGCAATGTTACACTCAACACCAGCGAAACCTCTTCTCGGTCCACTTCGCTTTCTCCAGCACAGCTCCAATATCGAACTTTCCTGTGTGACTGTCATGCAGTCGATGTTTGGGACGCTCAAAGCGATGCGGATGCAGCACTCTCATACACCTTTCATAACCACCTTGGTCAATCTGTCATTGACCGTGCTGTGCATTCCACAGTCGGCGTCATGTCCTTGGAGATCGAGATTCTTGACTTTTTCATAGGTAGTACGGACCATCGGCCTATTTGTGCAATTTGGTGTCTGTCTGCCCCTGATGGACAACCGACTGTTTTCCCCTCCAGCCTCACAAATTCAGTCAATCAACGTGTTCGGCCGCTGTACCCAAAATGTCACGAGCATCCACGCTTCATTGCTTTCTCCAATGAAGTAGATCATCAACTGCTTCTGCATGGACTCTCTGATGCAACAGTGGCTGATGACTCTTCCTTTGATGCACTGTATCATGCTTTAACTGAGATTATTTGCAATGCAGCTAGCCTTCATTTTGAACAGCCTTGGTGGATGACCCGCAAAGAGGGCAAAACACACAAGATCCTTAACCCCACCATCCGTGTCCTTGTCCGTGAGGCGCACTGGTTGGGACGACTAATTGCTGCAACACGTGGTCACCGCATCTCTGACCTCGCTGCGAAGGCACCCTGGGTTGTTGATTATCTTAACACCCACGGAAATCTTCTCACTGCTCAAGGGGACCATGCTCCTCACTTTTTGCCTTACCTCTTGACCCTACGCCGCACGCTCACTCGCATTCGCTATATTGAAGAACGTAAAGAATTGCGATATTGAGCCCAACAAGCAGCACAGGGACATATCCGTGCAGTACTCATGGGTTCATCAGCGAAAAGGCTGTATCCACAGATTTATCAGGGTGGCCCCCCTCTCGCTCTTGTTGATCCTGGGGATCACTTGAAATTTTTCACATCTTCCGAGGACATCCAGCGGGAGACGCGAGCATATTTCACTGATCTTTTTACACGTCAGGAACATCCCGCGGTGCATAAACCGTGGATGGAAACACCGTCGGTGATATCCATTAAATCCCGGACTTCTCAAGACACCTTCACCTGGCCTGTCCCAATGACAATCGAGTCCCTGCGAGCAACTTTGTGCAAAGGGAATCCTCATCCTAGCCCTGGGCCCGACAACTTGGAAAAGTGGTTTGTGAAGTCACTCAGTGACTTTGCACTCCGTCTCGTGCTTCAGCTAATTAATTATGAAATCTGTAACTCACATTTTCCAGCTTCGGTGAAGCCAACCAACATGACCACTATCTACAAGTGTGGCCCAAAGACATCACTGGCCAACTACCGCGGGATCTGTTGCAGTAACTTCTTGCTCAACATCCCTTTCACCTGGCTGAACTCACTTCTCGTACCCTACCTTGCACGACTTTGTGTCCTTCCTGAGGGGCAGGTTGCCACACAACCGGGTGTGCAAGGATGGGACTTAACATTGTTTCTTTCCCAGTTGGAGAGTTGGTCGAATCGTCATGACACTCCATTATACCTCCTTCGCAGAGATCAGCAAAAAGGATTTGACAAATTGGAACCTCAGGGATTCTATGACACCATTACCGCCTATGGTCTTCCGCACACCATCGTCGACTTCGACTCCTCTGCACAGTCAGAAGTCCCTTACCGAGTGCATACTGCATACGGGCTGACAGAACCTTTGACCATTACTGGTGTTACGAAGCAAGGTGGCCCGATTTCCCCCCTCAAGTCAACATTAACAACCAGTCTCGGCAATCACTGGCTTCATGACCTCTTCCAGGCGCACCAAGACGGTGTCATCATATCCTCCATCCAACATATGGCTAATCGGGAACACGTCCCAGCAGATCGCTTATCACTCGCACTTGCAATGTGCGAGGCAACAGATGATTCCCTGCTTGTTGCGGGAAGCATGCAATCCCTTGAACGATCATGTTTGGTGATGGAGCACTAATTGGGATAAGTCCACAGTATTCATTCTCAATGTCCCTGATCCTCCTGTGTCTCTTGTGCTGCCCTCTGTCTTGCCTGCTAACCCAACTTCACAAATAGTATGCATGCGCTCAGTTCGCGTGATTCCTTCTCATGTGGAATTTTTGCGTGTTTCTGTTAACGATCCACAAGCACAGTTTGCAAAAATATGTGATATCATTCTCTCATTCACCTTTCCTCATCTTCATTGTCGGCTGCCACTCACCGCTTCACGTCGCATTATCTCGCAGTGTCTCGTGTCTCAAATTCGCCCCCTTCTCGCCTTTCAGCCAATCACAAGAAGTCACGCACAACAACTTGATCATATGATTGCACGTCTTGTGCATGACTACTACCGCTTCCCCTTCCAATTTCATTTGACACTCCTCTCCTTGCCCATTGACCTATTTGGCATGGGTTTTCCATCAATCTCTCGTCTAAATGACACTCTCGCACTCCAAGGCATGCTACGCAACCTTAATCACCACATCCCCGCTTTTCGTACCATGGTAGTAATCACATTGTCCGACTGGATGTGTAGCCTAAACCATTGTGTGTACCCTCTCGATGGGCCTTCTGTACACAGAAGTTTTGTGTGACAAAAACATGCTCTGCCGACAACTTGGATTATCGCGCACAACACATTGCGACACTCTGAGCTCACTATCCCAATGACGGATCAGTCCTTCCTCCTCAGCAACGTCGCCCTTCGTCACTTGTCGTGTGCCTGTCCATCTTCCTTCCCACTCTCCCCTTACCTGATTTCAATTCTTGAGACAGAAGGTTATTCGCGGCTTGGTGACCTTCTTGTTACTCAGGTTGCAGACCTTCCTTGTCTTAGCCTTCAACTTTCTCCTGCGATAATTGGTTTACTCGGCGGATGGTTGCAATCTCTCAACCCATGTACCCTGTCCAACATCTATCTTGGCATTGAGCCCAATGCCATACCTTTGCCAGACCGAGCATCGTTGATTATTCCGTGTGCTGTTCGACAGCATTATGCCGAATTAGCGCTACTTGGCGCAGTGCATATTTCCCCAAAATTGCCACATCAGCATCTGCCAGATTCCCTGATTGTGTGTGATGGATCCATGGTCCCGGCACATGTGAAGTTTGACTGCATGCATTCAGTAACGTTTGCGGTGACCACTTCGTCAGGCTCGCTCGTTGGATCTCTGGATCACTACGCTAATGGTGCCACCATTCTCCACGGTAAACTATACGGTCTTATCGTGTCTGCCTTGCTCACTCGTCTCGGAACGTCAGACTCTACAATTCACAGTGATCATTTAAATGCTCTACATGTTATCAACTCCAGTCTCGTATCCCCCCTTTTACCACACTCCTGGTCAACATTGCCTGTGCGTTCACTCTATCGCTGGTTATTTTCCATTGTATCATCCTCGCCAAATCTTCCCACTCTATCACACATAAAGGCTCATACCAACTCATCCTCTCTTCCTGCCCAAGCTAATGCGCTAGTCAATTCATATGCTCGTGACTCTCATAAACTGCTGATTCGTCCATATCCCGTGCCACCTGCCACTTTTACGCTCGATACTTTCTCCTTATATTCTTCCACTGTGAAATTTGTTGAGTCTCATATCTCCTCTTTACTTACTTACTTGCTCTCACACAGCGCTGCAGCTGATCCGACCTTAAGCCTCGAAGTACCCTCATGCTTCATCTTTATGATTCGCATGCTCCACCAGACCACCCATATGTGCGCATGCCATATGCATACTTGACGCTGGTACAACTCTACACAAGGTCACGACAACTGGACACCGCGAGTGTGTGTTTCACTCGTCTGCGAAATACCTCTCCGTGGTGTCGTTTTGGATGCGAGCGCTTGGAAACACCGCACCATTTATTCGTTGAGTGTCTTTGTTTTGCGGAAACGCGCAATAGGTCGTCGCAGGATGTGATTGATGCAACTTCCATGCTTCTTCGTGAAGCAAAAACAGCTATGACAACAACGGAATTGTATTTGCACACCGCACGACGCCTGTTCGTCGATGACACTGTGTGGCCCTTGCATGCATCTCGGTATTACCTTGGAACCGTACCTGCAATCAATGCGTCGTACCAAATTTCACATGTATTGGCAACAAAGGTTGCACAGACGTGGCATATTGCGAGCATTCGTCTAGCAGGGCAAATATGGGGAACTTATAGGCATGTCGTCAATCCATCGGTTGGAAAAGCTCAGCGCACTTTTGATTTACCTACACACCTAAAACATCTCCATCCTCGCGAATGATCTTACTTCTAATATTTCGTTTTATCATTAATGAGCTGATGAGGTACTTATTTGTGCCTGAGTTACATCAGTAGCGTAGTCAGCCAATGAAAATCATTTATCCTTTACTATCACCTGGAGTGACTTTGAATGCAGTTTCCTTATTCTCTCTCTCTCTCTCTGAGCCTTGAGCCTAGTTCAGAAACCTTTTAGGGTCTGACACTGTCTACCTTGACATAGCAGCTAGGCAGCAAGACCCAACACTTTCTGCTATCCAGCAGATTTGTTGTACCCATACCATTCCAGAATAGATTTCCATAATGCCACCCAGAGTTTTTCCAGCTCAAAAGACCCAATAGTCTGGCAAGCAATTCTGGTGTTGGAATTCTTGCAGCAAAGCTGGCAAAACATGGTGGCCAATGACAAATTTTCAAGCGTGGCTGATGCATTGCACGCTGGTCTCAAGAATTTGGGCAAGTGGAGCTGGAAAACAGATGAGACAGATGTCTACTTCATTTGCTTAGGTCTGTCTCCATCCATGATACTTTTATTAACTAACACTTATGTTGAACAGCTCTTGATCCCAACTATAAACTTGAGTATGCACGATTGCAATGGGACACTGATGCCTTTGACGAAGGCAAGAAAAAACTCAAAGCTCCAGTAAGTCACACCAAGTGATGGTCAAAATTTGTTGCTAACTCTTTGACAGTTTGATCAGTATCATGCACCTGTTGCAGTTGCCCCTCAGCCGTCACCATCTCTCATTCCAGAGTCCAGTAAACAAGCGCACAATATGGGCATTCATGGATGTGCTCCACAATTCTAGCTCGCCAATCATCCGAACAGAACATCAATCCACATCATGAGCTCACCCTATACATGACTAGCCCGTTGGAGGAGGGAGGAGATGTTGTCTGCTGGTTGTGGGTAAGCATTTTACTGTCCATTCACTAATCTGCCAAGTTGTTGATGTATTTTCTAGCACCATTCTACTATGTACCCCACCCTTTCCCGCATGGCAAGAGATTACCTTGCAATTCAAGGCTCTTTGACACCATCAGAATGGGCCTTCTCAAGCGGCAGCATGACAGACGACAGTTGACGCAACCAGCTTACACCCCAGGTCTTCGAGGCATTGCAATTGTTGAAGAGCACTTACTGTAATAAGTGCATACAGGCTGAAACTGATGCAGAAGTGCATGTTGAGGCTGATGTTAGTGTCAAGAATGGTGACCTTTATTTTAGTGACTCATAGATTACAATTCATATTGATACTAGTAGTCAGCCCTATGTTCATTGAGACGTTCAGTGTTTGAATGCAAAACCGAACGTGAACTGAATGCCCCGAACATGTTTAAACAAATCTAGTCCAATGTTCAGTAAAATCACTGAACCAAATGTGACATCCAGTTCAGTGTTCACCGATTTTGCTGGTGAACCAGACTGAACCAGACTTTTCCATCACTACAGTTTCATAGCCAAAAAGGCTTCCTCAATAGGATTGAAGTCTGGTGAATAGGGTGGCAGGTACACTAGGCGAGCACCTGGAGAGCAAAGTAAAGACTCGGAGATTAGTAAAGGCTGATTGCCAGTGAGTGGGTGAAATCTTACCACATTTTTCAACAATTAGCTGATGAATTTCTTCATCATGATTGATGAAGCAATTGTCAAGCACCACCACACTTCTTCTTCCAGAGTATGGATTCAGTTGGGGGGCCTGACAATTGGGTAAGGGTAACAACTATGGAAGAGACTGGTACTCACCACTTGCTCACGAAGAAAATCCAAGAACCTGTCTGTGTTTACAGACCTGACAAAAATATCCATTACAATGATGCCATCAATGGACAAAGCAGGTAAGATGGAGTGCCGGATACCCTGGATAAAACTTGCATGGCAGACACAGTGAGTGCCAATTAATGACTGGCCATACATTCGCTCAGCTGTAGATTGACACCTGAATGTCCTGCACATTTGCCAATTTGTTCTGAATTTTGTTGAGATACAGGCCAGGATAAGCATCAATGATAGCTGAGATGAACTGGAGGTCGTCATTATTGAGAAGTGATGGATGTCCTGTATGATGACCGAAAGGGTTGGTCACTTGACCATAAAGTTGGTGAAGGTGAATGACTTTCGATACAAGGCCAATTGAGACATGCAGTGTCTCCGCAATCACTTCCATAGTCAAGCCATCAGTTTCATACATGAGCACAATCCTATGTTTGAGGTCTTCACTGATGGCGCAACCCACTGCATGATGGAGTAGGAAGACGTGACAAATGTCTCAAGTTCACGTGCCACACATGCTCAAAAAAATTCCCATTTTCACGAATTTATGCACAGGGCTGTAGGAAATTTACAACAAGTGCACCCAGTGCACACAAGTTGTTCGGCAATCGGATGACACCGGATTTCAAAGTCCGTGCCGTTGATGCCGAACGAAACCAGCAGGTTTGTCGAAATCAGTTTGTTTACAGCTTTGAACATCTTTAATATTAATAATTAAATATTGCAAATTTGCACACTATACAGTTTCAATTTGCGCCAGTCTCATTATATCTGCACATACTATCATTCCGGGTAATCTGCAACATTTTCAGCAAATCTTTTGTAGCTCCTCAACCACTTCATGTTATCCTCCACGAATTTAGAGTGTTATAGATTCATACTACCTCTATGTGGCTCTTATTTTTGCTCATTTTTAAAATGTTGTGGTGTGGTGTCGGATGAAAGCTGAGAAAATTCAGGGTCTGACTGCTAATCTGCAAAATATGGTCACATCGTATCACACCTCGGCACAGCACCAGCATGGTCAACTTTGACTCTCCGCAGCTCTCGATCTGTTGGCTGTGCGGTGTGTGCCGTAGAGGAGATTGAATTCCTTACACTCTTCTCAGAGTCTCCCCTACTATTAGTTACCACAAGTTTGTGCATCCCCAGATCTCGTGCATCGCTCAAAACAACACTTTTCTACTACAAATCTTCAAACTAATACATGCATATGGAATGATAAATTCTTAGAACACCCTATGAGCTTTAACGGATGTGATCTAATAAGAAACAAAAGAGATAAATTTTTGGTAATGACAACAGTTTGTGTCACTCTCAATGTCACGCACGAGTGCTGGACTTTTGAAAATGGCCTGTGTGACGATACTGTGACTCTGTTACATTTGTGTGACTGCACAAGATGCGGTGTGCACAAACTTGTGGTAACTAATAGTATTCGCTGTCATGCCTCACATTTTTATACATGTCGTCAATTCTTCCTCAATAGCATCTTTAAACAACAGGATGACCTTTATCGAAATTGTGTTCTGGAATCCTGACGAGGTGATTGTTATGCTCCAGGTATAAGTTTATGAATATATTTGTAGGATCTATGGGATCTGGATGATTTATGTTCTTGCATGGTTACAAATTACCACGATTTCATCTCTCACACTGGGGAAAAAAGAGATTATGGACCGGTGAGAATGTCGCACGAACCTTATATTCCAAACAGATTATCACTGTATTTTGACCACACAACCGCGAAATGACAACATGGTACATGTTCTGATATCCTCATATCATTTCCACTGCATTTTAACATATAGTACCATACTTGAATGCATCAATTGCTTACATAAATTTAAATTTAAACCCTCCGCCCCAACAAACGGTCCTTTCTTGCCTTCGCACCACAATGTCAATGCATGATGCATAAATGGGTGTTTTAGCTACGTAGTTAGTAGCCACTAGATAGCGCAGCCATGGGGAATTCTATATTGATGTATGATATTAGCCCTCTGATGGTGCTCAAGTTCTGGTTGTATGTATACATAGAAATGCAATATCAATGGATTCTCTTTGCTATGTGTTCTCGTTGGGGCATATACTGTAGCAATCAACTCAATTCAATGGTCACGCGTCACAGTCGGTGGTGTCGGTGTCGAAATTAGGTAGTTGTCACACGTAACATCGGCTTGTGTCGAAACCATTTGACATCACAAAAAAATCAAATTTTGCTTCCGTGGCGACCCCAGATTTGCGCGTAGTACACGACTCCGGATTCGTGCTGTATCTGTGCGCCGCACCAAATGTTTTGGCTACTTACAAAATTTAGCTCTTGTCATCATGATGGCGCCAGTAACATTGTCGAAAATTTTCGGCATGTCACGGTCACATGGGGGTGTCGAATTGAGTTGATTCCTACAGTATCATCTACCTGCAACAAGTTTTGGGGTGCGTGTGTGGTACCTATAAAACGGGCCCTCGAAAATTACAATGAATGAGAATGTCCTTCAGAACATGACCAGAATATGATAAAAATATGATGATAATGTGATCGTTTTATTTACATTTTCATTTCTTCATAACCTCCTTAGAATATCACAAGCATTTGGTTCGAATCTTGAGGTTCGCACCAGATTCTTATTTCGTGTAATGTCTTTTTTCCCCAGTGTCGCAGCTGCAACACTCAAGAAATTTTCATTCTACTTGGACAGTACATCGTATATAAGTAGTATACATATGCCTGAATTTTTTTTGAAGTGAGTCGAGCAGCGCGTTGAGGTGTTTTGAACATTTTGCATATTACATGGTAGTTGCAGATTACCCGGAATGATAGTAGCTGTAATGATTCAAAAGCACCGGTACTCCCCGCCAACGCCAAAAACAATCCAAACAATATCGCATTCAAAGCATCGCACAAACTATTGACCCCAAACACCACCGCCCCCAAAAAAATCATCACTACCAAAGCAAAAACCTAACCCCCCCCTCCCCGCACCAACCCTCCTATAAAACAACAAATACGCACACCTCTCATCCCTTTCCACACCCCCAAATACATCCTCAGCCCTCAAATCCGAAACCAACTCATCATCGATCCGTATCCACCCCTCACGCGGCTTTATAGGTGGATTTGTCATGTCGATATTGGGGTGCAGGACGTCGAGGGTGTAGTGTCCGCCCGAGGCTGATTGACCGTGGTGGTAGAGCGCTGTGTAAAAGTGTGTGAGGTTACTTTTTACAAGGAAACGAGGACGAGGAGGATGTGGATATATACAAATATGGAAACGGACGCACCTCCAAACAACCGATACCTCGTCCCATTCACCTTTTTCCCCTGCACCATCACATCCGCGCCCACCTCAAGCTCAGGCGCAAACGCAACCTGTTTACCAACCTTTGCAACCCCGCCTTTATTAGCGTCGTATAAGAACCGCTTGAGGTGGAGGATGAGAATCGGAGGGAGGGAATCGATGTGGACTTGTTGGGTTGCGTCCAGGGTTGCGCCTGGGCGTGTTACGGAGGTGACTTGCACAGATTGGGGTGTGGAGATGTGGGTGAGGGCGTCTTTGATTGTGTGGATTGTGTCGCGCTGTGTCAACAATAATGTGGTTAGTGGCGGGCTTGGTATTTTGGGAAAAGACGAACTTGGATGTCTAACCGCAGACTACGCCAGTCTTCGAAGATGACAGAGTCTTTTTGATGCGGTACACGGAGAGTGGAGCGGAATTTGCCACCGAAGATACGCGTCATGGGGGAGTCGACTGTCTTGGTCTGAGGATTGGTGAGTATAGAATCGGTTTGAGGAAGGGGATAACTTACGGAGCGTGTCAGGACAGTACGGTTACGCTTGCCTACCTCAAGCCACCCCTCTTCTTGCACGTTGTTTGCTGGGGCGTTGTTGGTCTGGTGAGCTGAAGCCTGGTTGGGGTTGGTGAGTGATGAGGAGAGCGTTAGGAGCTCTTCTTCGAGCGTGTCGAGGTAGAATCCAAGGAATTCTTCTGCGTCTTCTTGATGCCCACCCTGTCAATACAAGTCAGTATTGAAATCGCTAAAAGAAACAGGAAAGTCCACTCACGCGCATATGATCAAACCTCTTCTTCTCCTTCAAAGCATCATGTACATATGTCGGCATAAACGAATCCATAATATCATCATCCACTTCTTCATGCACAAGACCATTGGCTCCATAACGCTCTACGCCCTTTCCCTTTCCCTTGCCCTCAACAGGTGCCCTCTCCTTTGGCGCAAACTCCTTCACAAACCGAATGGTAGCATCAACAAGCGGTGTCTTGGACTCCTCCGCAGGCTCAAGGAACCGCCCGAGATCCGTAAAGAACCGCCAGAATGGAGGACAGTACACGAGCACCTGGAGCACCGCATTGGCGAAGCACAAGTTGCCAGAGTTGACGAGGCCGCGTGGCCTGATGCGCATGGCTGCTGCGGATGATCCGCCGGAGTTGAGCAGGGTCAGAAGCTCAGACTTTTTAGGGTGGGATGAGGTTTTTGGGGTGGTGGCGATGGGTGGAGGGGAGGCGGGGATGGAGAAGCCTACCACGGAGGATGCGGGGAGGTTGGATGGGCCAGGTTTGCGGAGGAGAGAGGCCCATGACACTGCAGGCCTTGGGACGGGTGCAGGTGTGGGGGAAGACGTGGATGCTTCTGCATTGGATGGCTTGGGTGCAGCAGTAGGTTCTGCATCAGATGGGGAGGGCGCAGCGGTGGGCGTAGAAGGTTCTGCATCGGATGGCTGGGCCGCAGAAGGTTCTGTATCACATAAGGTGGACGTAGAAGGTTCTGCATCAGATTCGGATGGCTTGGGCGCTTCTACAGCCTCATCGAATGATAATTCAGGCTCTGCAGTCGGCTCGTGTTGAGTAAATAGTTCGGCAGCCGATGGCGAGGCCTCCACCGAAGGCTTCTCTTCAGGTTGTTCGGGGGCCTTTGCGAGGGAAAATGATGTATTAGTGGAAACCGGTGAGCCGGGAACAGGTGTGTCAAATGCTGTAGAAAGGGCAGGAGTAGTATTTGATTCTGTGCCATCTAGGAGCTCTGAAGGGGTGGGCACTGAGACATCTGAGGGTAAAACGACGGATACTGGTGTGGGAGATGGAGGGGGCGTTGGGATGTCGAGGGCATATTGGATGACATCGGGAGGAGGACGAGCATGAGGAGAGATGATGATACCGGGAGCAGTAGAAGGATCTGAGGGACGTTTTGACCAAATAACCCAACCACCTAGTTTGGGATCTGTGCTGGGCATGGGTGATGGAGGAGGGGAAGTTGGAGGAGTGGTAGGATTGGGCGTCTCCTCGGATGCAATGGGTTCTATATTTTGATTTCCGATCTGATCGCCGCTGGATTGGACGAGTGAGAGAGATGGAAGAGTTGACAATTGTTTTGGTAGGGGAGAAAGCGGTTGCTGGCCGTGTTGTTGCCAAGATGGGCTTGAGTGCATTCCGTAACTAGGAGAATACGGAGCAGAGCGTGGAACATAAGGAGTAGGAACAGGTTGAGGGTAATTGTAGTGAGGATGAAAAGGTCGGTGAACTTGATGAGCGTGTCCATTCATTGGATGAGGATATTGCTGGTATTGACCAGGAAAAGGTGCAGGACTATGAGCGAATGGGTAAGCATGGCCAGGAGGAGCATGATGATAATAGTTCGAAGGACCAGGAGGACCAGTGTGGGCTGTCATACGATCACTCATGCGAGCAATGAAATTTTAGCAAGTACTTGGTGCGTCTGCTACTGTCCTTCCGAGATGAGTGCTTTTCAATATAAAATTAACTGAGCTCAACGCACCTGACAGCGATGAGATGACCTGTGCTCGTGAAACCTGTTACCTAGTCCAGACCATTCGCGGTCAAGGGTCTCAAAATCTCATTCGTGTTGTTCTTTGTTTGGATCTATCCTGAAATAGAAGACATTTGCAAATCGTCCGTGGACCCGCCGAGACTGGATATCGACTCCGAGACGATGAACATCGAGCAGAACGAGCTCAACGACGAGCACCCGCTCGTCCTCGAACTCTCCAGTCTCAGACAAACAGCTGCTCGCTTTCAGGTACTTTTCGTTTTATACACCTCTGCACTGACCATTCATATTCATTAGCATGAAGCACACCAAGCTGCACTCAAACTCCAGCGTTACACTCTAGCAGCAGCACAAACAAACGCCCGCTTACATCTCCTCGAATCACAACATTCCTTGCTCGCTTCTGAGCTAGCTACCCTCCGTGCTCACTCTCTCCCCCCGCCCAACTCTCAATCAGATATTCACGTCGTCCAAGAGCTCACTCTCGCACTAAGACGCTCTTCCGAGAAACTCGATCTCACAGAACATGCATTGGCAGAGAGGGCGGCTGAACTCGTAAACATCCTCAACGAAGCTCACAGAGCACGACACGACGCAGAAGGCGCGTACAAACTCGCCGCAAGTGCACGTGCACGCGAAGAGGAAGGTAAAGTCCGCGAGCGTGGATTGGCAACGCGTCTCCAAGCTGCAGAGGAAGAGCGCAGACTTATAGAGCTCGTGGTGCACGAGTATGCTGATCTCGTGCGCAGTTTGGATGGCAGGAAGAGCTCGCTTGGTAATGGGAGTGCAGTACTGCAAAACGCATCTGCGTCTGCGTCTTCTCTCACCCTTGTCGAAGGGCTCCACGAGGGCAAAACAAACTTGCATCGTCTCATGACCGAATTTGCTTTCGAGAACGAGAAAAGCGAAACGACCATTACCCAGCTACGCAATGATATTGCGACTTTGGAAAGCATCCTCGATGCAGAGCGCAAAACCGCCGCTCAGGACCGTGCTCAACTCGCGAAAGCACAGTTAGATCTAGAAATACTAAAGCTAGATGATACCACTGCAGCCAAGATGGTCTCGCGATACATGTACGTGCCTCATACACACGTGATTTTTTGTCAATCTCGAGCAATATACAGGAAATTCTCGCAATCACAGACTAATGCCCTTCAATCCACTCTTACGACTCTACAAACACGACATACATCCACCCAGCATACTCTCCAATCCACAATCAACGATACCGAAGCACGGATGCACGCTCACATGACTGAGAACGCACGTCTTCGCGACGCTTTGGAAGAGCTCGGCGAAGAAGTCACCAGGGAGGCATATGGGCGGCGGAGGGAGGTCGCACTGCGTCTTGCACTCCTCGCACGGGAAGAAGCGCTTGGCGAAGCATTACGAAGATGGGTTCGAAGGGCCCAGGAAGGAATTCACCGCTGCACAGATGCAGATAGTCAGATGTATGCGACTTTAGAGCGGGTAGTGAAAGATGCAGAGAGTCTTTTGATGGCGCTGGATGCGGAAGTGGTTTTGGAAGATGGAAGTAAGGTCCCTGGTGTACTGGGGAGGCTGGTTCTTGCTAAGGACGCTGTGATGAGGATGAGCGAAGAGATTGGGGTGGAGGTAGGGAGAAGGGTCGCTGCTGAGCGGAGGCTTTCTCTAGGCATGGGATCTCTTGACGAAACTGCCCACGAACAGACCGTTTCAGTCGAAGGAACTCCCGTTGATGTTACAGAACGTCCGACCCATACAAAGGACGCGAATACTGATATCCCGCATACACAGGATGAAATACCAGCTTGTTCACAAGTGCCTACATCTCCTCCAAGTCTCCCGGCAGGGGGAAACAAAGACACCGAGGGTACGCCCTCACCCATCATACGGGACATCACGCCTGGTACTTCCCAGCTGCTTCGCGAATTACCTATTGAACTAAGTCAGTCACCCGCTGTCTCAATCCTCGATCTGACGCAGACCCCGGCTGGGGAAGCGGCGTGTATTTTGCCTCCGTCTGCCGAGCCATGTACACCTTTGGCTTCCGCGAATGAACTGACTATGGAGCATGACACCGAAGGAATTTCGGATACTCAAGAGACTCGATCACTCGTTCAAACACCTACGCCTCCTCCAAGTCTTCCAGCAGAGGTCCAAAGGGACACTGAAGGTGCACCTTCAACCGTCATACCCAACATCATGTCTGGTACTTCGCAGATGCTTTTCGATTTACCCATTGGGCCGACTGGGGAGGCGGTCTGCACTTTGCCGTCGTCTGCTGAGCTGCGGACGCCTTTGGCTTCTGCGAATCAGCTGACTATAGAGCACGACGCCGATGAAATTTCGGATACCAAGGACACTACATCACCCCTTCCCCTAACAACTCCTGCAAAACAGAAAGAAAATCCCACTAACCAATTCCTGGAAAGAAACGAGGATTCCGGTATCTTCTTTTCACCAGCTGCTGCAACTCCAGAAATTAAAGCTAATGAACCGAACAATTTAATCGCCACTACCATTCCGTTATCACAACCCCCCTCCATCCCAAACGAACTCTCGTCCTTACTTTCCTCCCTCAACAAAGTCAACTGCCGCTACGACGCCCTCCAATACGCATTTCGCGACTGCTCTCTCGCGCTCAAAGACCTCAAACGCGTGCTCCCTCCCGTCACCATCACTTCATCGTCCCCACCAATACCAACACCATCCCCCCAATCCCTCCTGCGCACCGCCCTAGACCGCATATCCGACTACACCGAAGACGCCCGCGTCGAGCTCGAAATCCGCATCACAGACGAAGCACTCGCTATTCGCGGCTTCGAAACCCTACTCACCGTCCCTGGTGCGCTCTGTCTTTCGTCCGATTTGGATTCAAACCTTGAAGAAATGCGGGCGTTTGTTGAGGGGACGGATGAGGGTGTGAGGAGGGCTAAAGAGAGGCTCGAGGGGAAATTGGGGGATGTACAGCATGATGTGGCTGTTGTCAAGCGGGCTGTACATGAGCTTCAGGTTCAGGTTGACGAGGAGGTGGAGGAGAAGAAGGAAGGAGATAAGGATACAGAGCACAAAAGCTGGTCTGCATGGACATCAAGCCTGCTCCCTCGTTCATCCACCCCTACACCCACCCAAACACCTACATTCGGTTCGGTGATGACTTCTCCGCGATTAAACCGTGCCCCCTCGGAGAAGCAACTATTTTCGCTTGGGGAGCTGGAGTTGAAGATTCCTATGCCGTTGCCTGCATCTGTGTCTCCGCCTCAACCTGGGTATGGGGGCCTTGGCCTTGGGGCAGGAGTTACGCCGGGATTGGGACGTCAACGGACGATGTCGATGATGTATTCACTGGGAATTGGGTCTAGGGCTTCCACTTCGGTGTCGTCGTTGGTGATGCCTGGGATGTCACCTGTAAAGAGTGGGGGAAGTAGGGGTAGGTTTGTTACGACCCCGCTCGCTGGTCAGACTCACGGTGATCGTGATGAAAGTGATGTCGAGTGATGGGTATTGTCACTTGTGGGCGTGGTTTGGTGCTATGCTTGGTTTAGTGCTTTGTATGATGCATGGCTATGTCGGGACTATTATTGCATACCTCCTACTTACTATGAATTGGAAAATGGATACGTCGATCGCGAGCGTTTTCAACATCGGAGCCGCACACGGACTTGACTCGATCACGTGAAATCAAAACGTTGCATGGAGCAAGTCAGAGTCAGCGTAATCTTTGCATCCTTCCCATACACTGATACAGTAATGTCTACAGCAAACGCTACCCAGCCTCAAACTTCTCCATCAGCCAGACGCGGCGGCAAACGAGGTGGACACAGAGGACAAGGCGGCCATCGCGGAGGTGGTGGTAAATCCCGAGGCCGCAAGAATTCAAGTGCAACTGCACCAATCAATCCCGTTCCTACTGCGCCTGCTTCTGAAGCCACAGACGAAGCAGTGGTATGCTGGATCTGCGCAGAGCCCGTTAAATACTACGCAGTATCAGCGTGCAACCACCGGACGTGTCATGTCTGTGCTCTACGCTTGAGAGCGCTTTATAAGAAGCTGGATTGTACATTCTGCAAGGTGCGCTGTACTTCCACTAGTCCCACCTACGAATTTTAACGCTGGGGCGTTTTCTAGGATCCTCAAACGACGGTAATATTCACGACTTCCCCCGATGCGCTTTTTTCTTCATACACCCCCGACATGATCCCGCATAAAGACTCTAAGTCAATGATTTACTTCGAGACAACCGATATGATGGAAGAGACTCTTATTCTTCTACGCTTTAATTGCCCTGATTCGCAGTGCGATTATACTGCGACTGGATGGGGCGATCTTAAATTGCACGTTCGGGGTACGCACGAGAAGATGATGTGGTACGTGCATAACATCAAATAATACTATTTAATACACTGAAACTGAGTGTGTACCTGCAAGTGATCTTTGTATTCGTTTCAAGAAGGTTTTCAGTCATGAGCACGCGTTGTACTTCCCCAACGTCCTGCCTTTACACTTGCCCTCTATGTTGCATCGGTCTCATAAACAAGTGACGAAAGAGCCGATAGAAGGCGGCGTACATCCATTATGCGGGTTCTGCAAGGAATGTTTTTTCAGTGATGATGAGTTGTATGTTCATATGCGCGAACGACATGAGGAGTGCTTCATTTGCAAACGGAATGAAGTACGAGATCAATAGTGAGTCTTTATATGTCGTTCGTTCGTTAATGATTTGTGCTGATGCGCTGTCGTTTGTTTTGTCTAGCTTTCAAAACTATGAGGCTCTCGTACGATCTTTTTGATTGCATTGACATTGATGGTCGTAGTGATTCCCTCGTCAGGAGCAACATTTCAATCACGCACATTTTGCGTGTTCAAAACCTGTTTGTCAGGCTCAAAAATTCGTGGTGTTTGGATCTGCAATAGACCTCAAGGCGCATCAGGTTGAAGTACATGGTGCGGAAATGACATCGCGGGATAAGAAGAATACTCAGCGGGTTGAGGCGGAGTTTGAGTTTGGGGATGCTGGTGGTGGGCGTAGGGGGAGACGTGACAGGGACCGAGAACGAGAACGAGAACATGAGCCAGTGCCTGCGGTGCAGCCTAGGGCGGGGGCAAGGCGCAGGGAAGGGTTTGGTGCCCATCTGACTACCAGCTCTCCTGCTCCTAATGGAGCACAAACACCGCAGTCGTCTGGACCTAGCCGGCGACCATCGCCATCCCCACAGCGAAACGGGGAGGACGTCGACCCTGTTGTTGCTCAGTAAGAATATTGTTGGGAACTTTGAAATTCAATCTCACTCTGTTTTAGGCGCCATGCGGCGTTCATTTCACGGTTGCAATCTGTCGCGCCAAACCCCAGCACCGCAGTGCTCGCTGCTAAAGCTGCTGTCCGAGGATTCCGACTCAACGAATCTACCGCTCGTGATCTTATCTCAACGATATGGAACGTTCTTGACAGAAATTTAGATGATACCGCGGGTATCGTCAATGCTATCGTCGACTTATTTGACGAGGAAGAGAAGAAGTCCAATCTGCTCTCCTCTTGGAATGGATTCAAAATTGAGGTATTTTGCTGACCCTTATATTTATGCCGCGATGAAACTGATAGCAAGATCCCAGCAACGTCAGCAGTTTCCTGATCTCGTACCTCAGGAAGTGGGATCGGGCTATGCCGGTATCACATCCGGCCGTGTCCTGAACGCGAAGCATGCTACTGCCACACGGTCTTCTTCGCAATCTTCGAGACAGGTGTGGGATCGCGTTGCACAGGCGGCTGGATCTTCGTCATCCCGCGTTGGTTCTGCTCCTACTCCAACACCACGACCACCAGATAGTTTCCCGGCTCTGGCAGTTCCTCCTCAGCCTCAGCCTGCATTCCGCCAACAACAACGGAACACCCCGTGGGCATCCGGATCTGGATCTTCTGGCACAGGCTCCCGAGCACCGACATCGATACCGACACCTGTAGTACAGAAACGCGTTGCTACGAAGAAAGGTCCGCCACCGCCGTCGCTCACATCTTCTGCTTTCCCAGTGTTGCCTTCGTCTGGTAACTCTCGGATGAAACCTCCTCCTGTCAGTGGGAATCAGTCCCTACGAAATATTCTTGGTGAGACCGCTCCGACTGTTGCTGCTTGGAAAAGTAGTGGCACGGGAAGCGGGGGCGGTACCCCGACACCGGATGAACAGAGTATTGCTGAAGAGACGGCTGGTGGAAAGGGGAAGAAGGGCAAGGGAAAGCAGAAGCAGACCTTGTTCACTCTTGGTTCTTTCCCGACATAAGCAGAGGTGTCGTTGTACCTCCCTATCGCATTCATTCTAGCTGAGAGAGTACAATATAGACATACATCTATTTGCAGTTTGCTAATATTGAAATATTGAAAACTTGGTTGCAATCTCAAATCTTGTTTGTACTCGCACTCGCGGGAGCAATGAAGCCAGAATTCTTCTACATGGCCGGTGCTGACATACTATTCGTCGCCTGGACTATGTGCCAGCAACCTGTATTTCATGTGACCATGCCAGTCTGTAATTATAACTGTCCATTTCTCCTAAAGAATGGGAAGTGGGACCAATTGGCTTCGAGTTATGCCGCACTGGTGCGTCATAGCCTCAAAAACTCCGTGCTTCACTGAATTATGATTAGTCTAGCGAATCCAACTACCATCACTTCTTCAGAGTTTGTCAAACTCGTCATCGTTTAAGTATTGCAAAACGGCATAAAGACAGGCCGGTAGGTTTCGGCCAAATGCGAGAGAATGACCAAAAGGTAAAAAGTCTGTTCCCCAGCGATATCGTCACAGCGACTGATTCGTCGACTGCTGTCATAGAATTTGGGCTTCCCGCGATGACGGCGGAACGTACGAAAATCTGGTACCTTCAATTGCCTACGATTTGAATTGCCAGACGTTAGCAATACGGTTTAAAGTATACATGACTGGACCCTCATCTGATAATCTGCAGGCGAATCCGAGGACTCCGAAGTTGTTAGTATCCTTGAATACAGGTTGATCGATACCGGACCTTATGGGTATTTGAAAAACCATAGTCATTGAAATTTCCATGCCATCCCACATCTCATCTCTTGCTCGTATGCTTTTCTTGTCTCGGTAGGTCTCGGAGTCCAGTGTTATGGGCCATGCCCTATCCTGCGTCATATAGTAGTTTGTAATGTCTTTGCAACTGTGACTCACAAGGGGGCTGTGCTGCCAGATACTATGTAGTTACACGCAGGATAAACTGAATAGCTCTACTCCCAGCCTCAAACGGATTCTATTACTCCAAGTGTGACACAACGCTGCATAAATCACATCGAAACTTTCTTTCTGCAACGGGAGTGTCGTTCTAGAAAAACAGCGAGGCAACGATTCGTTCCATTGAATGTGGTAATTCAACACTTGCCCCATAGGTGTCCGAGATGGATGCATCGCGCCAGAAGTAGCAATCCAGCAGCACACATAATTACGCCACCTGTACAAGATCAACGTTCACCCAAAGATTGCGCATCGTATAAACGTGCCTGCATAGTAACCCGCGTCAACGAACCCTCCTGACGCAGTACTGATGGCACCTGATATCGGAGGACCTGCAATGGCTCCAAGGGCAGCGATGGACATGAACATCCCCACTCGGCGCCCCGCATCTTCTATATTTCCCATTGCTACGACAGCAACAGAGAAGAGAGCTACAAATCCTCCTGTGGAGAATCTGGATTGGGTGAGTTGGCAGATACTTACGAACAAGTGCTACACATACCCATACACGGCGGCTATTCCGATAAGCTGGGATTCATTTTTAGCAAATGGCCAGGCGAAAGTCATAATTCCTGCGATAGCAGTAAAAGCTGCCATGGTGTTGAGCGCGCCTTTCAAATATCAACTGATGTTCCCATAATCCACAGCTATCGAGACCTACCAATTTTATCTGCCAGAAGTCCAGATGACACACGTCCAAATGTAGATGCTGCATTCGCGATCGCGATTATATAGAATGCAAAGCCTTTGGAGACGCCAATTGTTACGGCGCTCACAGAGATATATGTTAACTCTGGTGAATCAATTTAGGATATCAGGAAGCCACAGTAATAACCGCCACGATAATACCTGTGTAAAGTCCTAAAAATGACAGTATTCCTGCAAAGCAAAAGATGGTGTACGCTGTGTTGCGGAATACGTTGAGGTTAAACAGTCCCCCACGAACATTGACGGGTGGAAGCCGTCGTTTAAGTAACTTGGGGGACATGCCATCAGAGAAAGAGGCATCTACAGGTGCTCATGACATACTAGGTTAGCCAACCCCAGTGTAGTAAGCAGAATAAATCCAAATACACGCATCGTCCATTTAAATCTGAAACTATATTAGGGAGCATGAATTATCGATGATTGGTCGACCGAACCCGATCAATGGAATCAATTTCTGTGCTGCTGCAGGAAACACGGTACTGCCGATCGAAGCCCCAATGGCGGCAAGCGACATGGCGAGGCCACGTTTCCTGTTGAACCAATGCGAGACGACAACAAGTGCTGGACCAACCATGATACCACAGCACAGTCCCATACCGAGCCCTTGTACAAGAAAGAAATGCCAATATTGAGTGCATTCCGCTGTTATGAAGGTGCATGCAACGATAACACAGCTAGCGGAGAAGCACGGTATCTTGAAGTATCCTAGGTCAAACATCCGTCCCGTCACAAGCGCTGGAAGGTACACGAGCGCGTACTGAGAGGCAAAGTGAGCTACACATGTATACTGGACCGAGACAAAGACATACCTGCGCAGAACCGATCCATGCTCTGGAGAGTGAAAATGGTGCGATGGATCAGTTACAAGATCGCATAAAACAGACCTAGCACCTTACATATAGGAAGGAGAAGTGTCCCGTAGCAAGTTTTCCTCGTAATACGCTTGGAAAACCTGAAAGGAGGAAATTTGCAGGAACTGCGAATATTAGCGGCAAATCTTACTTACCCCCCATGCATTAGCCATACCGAACCTGGTGATAATTTGAGCTACTGATCTGGGAACGAAGAAACGGAGAAAGCTCACGAAGAAAATAAAACCAAGTTAACACTGTAATCTGAAAACGTCAGTGACAATTTTACAGAATTAATCGTGTAGCCCAGTACTCACGCAACAACGACCAGCCACGCAGTTAATCCCCCATCTGGTGCTCCAGCAAGGTGTGTTACAGTGACAGGCTCCTGAGAAGCCTTTTCATCCAGTGATTCCTGATCATCTGGAAGAGTTGCTCTCGGTGTCCACTCCTCAAAAGGCAGGGCTGGAGACGCAAATTCGGTGCTCGGGAAAGCCTTGAGGCTTGGGGGATTCTCGAACATAGTAGTTCTTAAGACACAGAAGTCAAAATTGAACAAAGAGTGGGGGGAAAGGAAAGACTGTACTGGTATGTTCAAACCATTCTTGGAACATTATGTAGTACGAATCTAAGGACATTATTGTTCGGGATTCCATTTCTCGTCCGCGAACTATTTGCAAAATTGAGGGCCATTGGCACAGCGCCCGACCACCGAAAGTCATGGGAAGTGCCAGCGATACCGATGTTGATGATTCACCATCCCTAGATTCCAAACTGCATCAGTATCATGATGGAATGATGGAGTACTAGTAGTACCGGTGTGACGACGGTAAGATGCAAACACAAGCATTACATAAAAATAGCAAGCTTCTCAGTTGACCAACGGTCCGACTCCAAACAACATGCGCACGGGCGCTTACATCTGAAAAGGTGAAACTTGTTTAACTGTCGACTTGATTTTTCACTACGAGACTGATCAGTTGAATTTCTGCACTATTAATAGGTTTGCTTCGCAGTTTCATTGGCAAATCATTAATACAATGCTTAAAGTGGGCCGTCTGCCTGTGATCCGGTTCGATTCCTCACCCAGCAAGTTCAACCATGTTTTCGTTCTTGCATTCGTGGCATCGTCAACTGACCTTTACGAACGGAGCAAAGACCTTCTTGTGCGGCCCTCAATGTTTTGCAAATGGCTATGCAAGGAGCCATATGCCCCGGAGTCTTCGATGCTATATCTACACAACGTCGACAGCATGATTTGAACAGTCCAGTACAGTTGCTCTTCTCCCTTCTCTCTGTCGACTCTGACCTCTTCTCTCCGCATTGGCAGGAGGAGCCATGTCCGAGAAGTCACTACTAAGTGTAGAGGCCTTGCACGGCATTCAAGTCGACTCTGCGTCTGAAAGCAGACATCGCTTGTCATGCGATGGATGGAAGACAAGGGCGGCTGTTGACCAGGAAATACCGAATGAACGAGGTTCTCAAAAATTTGTAACACATCCTGGTGGGGCGCCAGATGGAGGACTAAGGGCGTGGCTTATGGTTTTTGCGCGAGTACACGTTAAATTCGTGCAAATAGTCACTGACGTCGGATCACAGTGTTGCATTGGTTGTATTCTCCACGTAAGGTGTTCTCAAATTATACCCCTAATTTGACTCAAGCAGGTTCCACCAGGTTTGGTTATGTAAATTCATGGGGTGTAAGTGAGGTTTGTCAACACATACTTGCATTTTCTACAAATTTCCACCTTTCAGGTCTTCCAAGCCTATTACGAGGAAGATCTTCTACGTCACACTTCCCCTTCAACTATGTGAGGTGATAAGTTTGTTCGATGCAACCTTGTATAACTGATGTCTTGCACTTTTTAGAGCATGGATCGGTTCTACGCAGGCATGTTCAATTCTCGTTGTAGCAAACCTGCGAAGCTCACTTGTCCAAATAGTACGCGCTCTCGTACCTTCCATCGCTTGCGACAGGGCGACTGTTTGACCTGGGTTATTTCAAAATACCGTTCTTCGCCGCTAGCTGCGTCCTCGTTACGGGCACTTTCCTAACCGCTGAATGCACTCAATTCTGGCAATTCTTCCTGACACAGGGTGTCGGGGTGGGAATAGGCTGTGGTATGATGTTTAGCCCGGCAATCGTCATCGTGTCACAGTGGTTCTCCAAGAGACGTGGCCTTGCTTTATCGCTCACCGCCGTCGGGGCTGCGCTCGGCAGCATCGTGTTTCCTGTAGCGGCACAAAATCTGATTCCATTGATTGGGTTCGCTCGACCAATCGTGGGGCAATTCATATAGGCTCATGCGATCTCAGGTTTAGATGGACAGTCCGTGTATTTGGATTCATTCTGATGTCAACTCTGGGGACGGCCAACATAGTATGTCGTCAACACCTGCGGAGAACTCTATGACCGATGTATTTCCCTCCAGTTACTGAAGCGACGGCTTCCGCCCGTCAACGTTCGTGGGGGACTCTTTAATCTCAAAGCATTCCGCAACAGAGCATATACCATGTATTGCATCTCAGGAGTCACGATCCTTTTAGGTTTCTATACAGGTACGACAATTGTGCTCATGATTGTGGCTCCTGATATTTTGGTTTGATCAGAGCTGAGCTATATCTCTGTGAGCGCCGTAGAAATTGGCGTCCCAAAAAACTTTGCGTTCTATATAATTGCAATCGCCAATGCAGCATCTGCGTTTGGACGTGTGTTATCCGGATTGATGGCAGATAGAATTGGTAGGTCTCGACAGTTGTGGACCACGGTAATACCGGTTGATATTTGACAGGCGCACTCAGCACCATGGCAGCTTTTACTGCTGTGACGGGAATTGCAACAATAGCTTGGCCATTTGCTCAAAATGAATCCCAGCTCATTGTAATAGCCACCATTTACGGGTACGCGTTGCAGCTATTCAGTTATACAAACTAGGTGATCGACTCACATCCAGATTCTCAATCGGAGCGTATGTATCTCTGTACTCTGTACCTGCCGTTGCGATGGGGAAAATGGAAGATGCCGGGCGTCGAGTGGGAATGTTCATGTCACTCATTGGTTTTGGAGGCATTGCAGGTCCTCCAATATCAGGCGCCATCAGTACCGCGACAGGAGGGTTTGTTTCTGCCGGTTACTATGCAGGTAGGTTAATGGCACGCACGATCTTTGAGTGGACACTGACCTTGCCTAGGTGGCATCATTATATTTGGTGTTCTATTGCTACTCGTGGCGCGGTACCTCCATCTCGGACGCCTGTGGGGCAAGTTTTGAATAGCCGTTCAGTGAGGGCTCTAGAACGGCACAGAAGGAGTGGATGCGGCATGATTCATGCATGGTGCCGAGTACCATCAATACTCTGCCACGTTCACAACGAACTCGTAATTTGTTTGGTACATTGAAGGTGGGGCTAGAACCTTGGTCTTTCTTGTGAAAGACAGCCCTTGTTTAACTTGACATTTTGCCCGTCTTCGTTGGACGAAAGGGAGACGAGAGTTGTGAATTGCCCGGCACTTCGCGTTCCTTTCGATACGACCTTCTTGACAGGGACAACCGACTTGGCTGGGTTGTCCATGCAGACTTCGGACGTGGCAAGCACCTAGAGGCTACGACAGCTAGCTTGTCAACGGCTTTGTTGTCATGAGATCATCATCGAGGGACAACAGTTGCTCACCGAGCACTCGAACATGAGCGATGCGATGCCTTCAGAACATCATGCAGGTAATACTCAATCGAAGGAATTTGTACACAAGGAAGGCCAAGGGTAACCCAATGGTCGACGTGCTGATCATTAACTTGCCAACGCATCCGACCAGCTCCTTTGAAATAGTATTCGACAGGTGTGTCGTCAGTCACACCGCGATTGTACTGGCATGCTCGAACCATTCTGCCGACTTTATATATACGTTACAGACCATCAGACTAATATCCCACTTCTTGTTTCCAAGCTATTTGCAAAACAGAGGGCCGCTAGGATTCCATTCAATAAGGCTGCCGAGTTACTCCGGGAAGCGCCAGCGACATCTGCATCAAGGTTCATCTACTATCCTGGCTCGAGGCTACGAACTGCCAGTGTGAGGGATGACGGACCCGCGGCCCACGGTATACCCGTGCTATACTAACATCGACGGTAATAGTGTCTATCGAATAAGTAACAGAACGCTTACTAAGTAATAGAATTTGCTGGCTTAAGCTTCAACTTTTCGACACCCGTGACGCAACATCAGTTACTGGCTATCTGACTAGTGTGCACTTCAAGGTCGTGGGCGTTTGTCTGTGGGGTTTCTGAAAAGGTGAGCTTGCTGGCACATTTTTCACTACGAGACTAATCAGTCAAAGCTGATCTAGTCTTTCTGCTCTGACTTTCTTGATCTACCCAGGAGCAAAAAGCAGCGTTCCCGGGCCTGTCTGTGATCTGGTTCAATTCCTCACCCTGGCCAGCGAAGGCCAGCGAGTGCAATGTCATATTTCTGGTCCTTATATGCGTGGCGTTATCCAGTGGCGGCGGTTTACAAATGGAACACAGTATTTTCCAGCCCTCACGTTTTTGCAAATAGCTACGGGAAGGAACCATATGCTCCGCTGAGTACTATATGTACGCAGTAACGTCGGCAGCATGATTTTCACATACCAGTACAGTTGCTCTCTTCCCTTGGCTCTTCGTTGGTTCTGATCTCTCCTCTCTGCATTGGCAGGAGAAGGAAGCTATGTCCGAGAAGTCACTGAGTATAGAGACCTTTCAGGGCACTCAAATTGACACTGCGTCTTACAATGGGCAGAAAACAAGAGTGACCGTTGAACAGGAAATACCGAATGAACGAGGTTCTCAGAAGCTTGCAACACATCCGGGTGAAGCACCAGATGGAGGATCAATGGCATGGCTTATCGTTTTGGGGCGAGTACATCTTCGTACATTGAAATAGTCACTGACGTCTTCGGATTGGCAATTTTTAGTGCCACATTGCTTATGTTCTCTACGTAAGGTGTTCCTAATTTATTCCCCTGGCTTGACTCAAGAAGGTTCCACCAGCATTGGTTTTGTAAATTCATGGGGTGTAAGTAAGGTTTTTCACTACACACCTGCATTTTCTACAAAATTCTACCTCTTAGGTCTTCCAAGAGTATTACGAGGAAGATCTTCATCAGGAAAAAACAAATATTGGTGTAGTTCCAGTGACAACTACATATTGCTACATAGTCACTGTAGTGATATGTAGTTAAATACGGGGCTATGTAGAGCTACGGGAGGCGCTGGGAGTAGTTGTATTCACTGTAGTAGCCAATATCCGCAATCACATCGTTGTACATCAGGAATGTCCTAACTCCACATTTATTATCTGCGCATTCTCCAGCTTGCGCGGTTTTACCAATCGAGAGCTCGCACATTTTCATCAAGAGTTTTAGACTCATGCTTGGTTGCCGTCTTCTTAACCAAAAAATTGTTTGAAGTCTAATATTTGCACATGTTTGGTTATTCTCATGCGCGCTCACATGATTTTAGTTCGACTTTTCAAACCATCCATGTTTCCCTTCCAGCAACAACCCACCAGCCTCTCTGCACCCAGATGCACCTCCCCTCCCTGACATGTCGACACTTCTCCGCAGGTTACTCAGCCATTACCTCCAGGTCCTCCGGCTGCGACGACCCTTCCCAATCCTCTCGAGGTACCTCTCGCTCGTCGTTCCAGTTGTACACCTGTGCCGTCTGAACGTTGTTGTGCTGCTGAAGGTATACCATACATACCTGCTACTCATTGTTCTGTTTTAGCATCTGTCGTCGCTGCCGAACACCTACAGGCTCTCAGGCTCCCTTCCACAGACAATCCCTTTCCGAACCGGACTCATGGTCCGGTCCTAGGTTCGGCCAAGACTCAGAACCGAACCTCTCGAGAGGTTCGGGGTTCGGCTGACGGTGAATAGGTTTGAACGGGTTCGAACCTCAGAATTTTTGGGTAGGTTTCACACATTTTTTAATCTGTGTTTCAGTACTTATGATGTTCATTTCTACGGACTCACCAAGTCCGTGCGTATTAAAACCTTTGAAGCCTGTCGAGCACCCCACTTTATTGGTGGATAGCCACGTCAGCACAATGCCGCTGACTGCGCGTTGCTCTGTAGCGAGTGGGGTCCGACCGTCCCAAGGTGTCGCGTTTTTTCTTGATCAATGAAGCCCTTCGTGCGACGGGCGCCTGCATTGGAATTTCCGAGGAGCATTCACGTCCTGCAGCTTTCGTTCTAGACTTCGGTCCTGCGAGTGTCCGATGGGCTCGAGGGGAGGTTGAGGCACGTCGTGGAATACATGGTGCTTTGGTGACAGAAGCGAGTGTTCTACGACCGGGGCGCCTGCTTGCACAGGAGGTCGTCAGCTCCCTGCCTTATACCTGAACCATGCTCGCTGGTTACCTATCCCAACACCAAATTCGACTTTCGCGAGATGAAGTTGTCTATCCTGTAGGTTCATGTATGCTCATCTTTCTGTTCGAGTTGCTTAGGTGTGCTTTTGCTTTTTGATAGGTTAATCTGCTGCAAGGACCTCCGCTGCCTAATCTTCAAAATATTTACGGCTTCGCGTGAGACACTACTGGAATTGCTGCTCGCTGACACGAGATAATTTGTGACGACTACTTAGAAGCTTTTTAATCGGTTTCCATCCTCGTCCGCTATCGCATACTACATTCTAATTACCATTTTGCAGTATGCAGAACTCGTTCACCTCAGTTATTCGTGCGCTCGAGTGTCTATGCGTTGCAGTGCTACACATGCATCACCTTCGCCCATCCCATCCTCGAGTGCGTTTGGAGCTACTAGCCATTGTCTGATTCAGAGCTGATTCTAAACTCGTTCTCAGAATCCAGAATCAGTGACGAGGCAATCGAAGATGCCGTTCGAGAACACCAGCTTCAGGAGGAGAGTGGGCGGCGAGGCTAGTGAGAGCGGGAGCCGAGGGTCGTAGCAGTACCGCCGTTAGTATCGACTGATCTGAATTTATTGATTTGTTGCTATTTCATGTGCTATAATCTGAGTCACTACTATGGTGCGCTATATAGTTGCTTGGAGTCCCACTCCTATGAACTACAATCTACTACTGATTTACTACAGTTGCACCATGTGGTGCTACATAGCGCTATGTAGCACTATGTAGCACTACATAGTTACTTCAGTTGCTATGTAGAAGGCATGTAGCAACCGAGCTACATTGACTACACGGACTACATAGTACTATGTAGTCAGCTGTAGTCAGGTGGTTTTTTCCTGATGTTCTACGTCACACTTCTCCTTCAAATATGTGAGGTGATAAATTTGTTTGATGCAACCTTGTAAAACTGATGTCCTACACTCTCAGAGCATGGATTGGTTCTACGCAGGCATGTTCAATTCTCGTTCTAGCAAACCTGCGAAGCTCAATTGTCCTCATAGTCCGCGCTCTCGTACCTTACATCGCTTGCATCTGGGCGAATGTTTGACTTGGGATACTTTAAAATACCGTTCTACATCGCTAGCTGCACCCTCGTTGCGTGCACTTTCATAACCGCGGAATGCACTCAATTCTGGCAGTTCTTCCTAACGCAGGGTATCGGTATAGGACTGTGCTCCGGTACCATGTTCGCTCCCGCAATCGTCATCGTGTCGCAATGGTTCTCCAAGAGACGTGGCCTTGCTATGGCCATCAGTGCCGTTGGTACTCCCCTCGGCAGCATCGTGTTTCCTGTAGCAGCACAAAATTTGATTCCGTCAATTGGGTTTGTTCGACCACTTATAGGGCAATTCACATACACTCATACCATTACAGGTTTAAATGGACAGTCCGTGTATTTGGGTTCATTATAATAGCAACCCTGGGAACGGCCAATATAGCATGTCGTCAGCCCCTGTAGATGTCTCTTTCTCTGACGCATTTCCCTCAAGTTAATGAAACGACGGCTTCCGCCCGTCAACGTTCGTGGGGGACTCTTTAATCTCAAAGCATTCCGCAACAGAGCATATACCATGTATTGCATGTCAGGAATTATGATAGTCTTAGGCCTTTACACAGGTACGACCGTTGTGCTCGTCGTTGTGGCTCCTGATATTTTGGTTTGATCAGAGTTAACCTATATCTCTGTGAGCGCCGTAGCAATTGGCGTCTCCAAAGATTTTTCGTTCTATATACTCGCGATCGCTAATGCGGCATCTACGTTGCGTGTGTCATTGGGACTGATAGCAGATAAAATTGGTAGGTCTCGACAGCTGTAGACTATGACATCAGTTGATATTTGATAGGCGCACTCAACACCATGGCAGTCCTTACTGCTTTAGCGGGAATCATGACAATAGCTTGGCCATTTGCTAAAAATGAATCCCAGCTTATTGCCATAACCGCCTTTTACGGGTACGTGTTGCACTTGTTCACTGCTAGCTGCTTGACTCGCCCGTCCAGATTCTCCACCGGAGCCTATGTAACTCTGTCCTCAATACCTGCCGTTGCGATGGGGAAAATGGACGACGCCGGGCGTCGAGTTGGAATGTTCTTGTCCCTCATTGGTTTAGGAGGCATTGCAGGTCCTCCAATATCAGGTGCCATCAGTACCGCGACAGGAGGGTTCGCTGCTGCGGGTTATTATGCAGGTAAGTTTTTGACACGCACGATCTTTGATTGGGCATTGACCTTGCCCAGGTGGCAGCATTATATTTGGTGTTCTATTGCTACTCGTGGCACGGTACCTCCACCTCGGGCGCCTGTGGGGCAAGTTTTGAATGGTAGTTCAGCCAGGGGAATCTTGCGTTGTGATGCGACATGATTCATGCGTGGTGCCAATCAACGTTCCATACCACATTCATAATGAATGAACTTAGGCTGTACGTTGAACATTGGAGCCAGAGCTCCTCAGATAGATTACCAATGCAGCGCCGGCTTGAGCCCAAGTTGCAAGCATACACAGTCCATAGCATTCCAATATTAATGTACTATACTTTGCAGTTTCCGCTTAAGAATAGGAACCGGCTTTAGCCGGCGCTAGTCTGCAGCAACAGCAGGATAACTCGGACCGGACGGGCTTACTAAGTAACTGACACGTAGCGTTTTCTACCGATATCACAAGTCCAATCCTGGCCAAATGAACAGCTCACAATTAATGATCAAGTTGCATTGCCAAACTTCTACAAAGTATCCTACAAGAATTATTGCGTCTACGATGACTCTAATTGCGTTCCGTGCCATTCCTACAAACCAGAAACTGGTGTATTATCCCTCCTATTAATCCCATCCAACCCAATCCTCGAAACAACCCCTATCGGCCCACTGGTAACGGACCTCTCGCCCAGAAAAAGTGTTCCGACAAAACTTTATCAAATAGTCCACCCCGCCTGAAAGCGGCAGAAACCTCTCCATGGCGGACTTCGCAGCAGCAACCCCTGACCTCGGCGGCACCTTCGCAAGAGTGCGTGACCGCAAAAGCAAATGGCAATCCTCAAACATGCGGTCAAAAATCTGTACCAGCCGCCCCATCGGTACTGCATCAATGTTGACGCGCGCGCATGTCTGAATCTCTGCGGACAACATGATGAGGACGTCCACAGGCGGCACCGCACCAAAACGCGCGCACGCGATACTGCTAAAACTCGAAAACTCCTCGTGTATCGAGAGGGGGATGTCCAGGGTGTTCCATTCCCCGTTCATAGCTTTTAGCGTAGTTCGTACGACCCACAGACGTTTCTTGAAGAACTTCTTTCGTCTCGTGATGAGGAATGGAAGCACGTCTTTGTAATTCTTCGTCTGTGGGTTCTTAATGATCTTGAAGAATTCGTGTGCGTCCATGATGTCTTGTGAAGCTTCGGGTGCATTTTCTTCGAATGATGATCGATTACGGAGGGGTTTGTGCAACATGAAAGACATCTCCGGCGAGCTGTTTATAGTGACCGAGACCACCTCTTCAGGACTGTCGGATTTGGACAGGTAGGACGTGATTGTATTTGTAATGACGTGCTGTTTGGGAATCTTCGGAGGTGGTTTGCGTCGACTAGGACGTATTGTGAGGTCGTCATCCTCAACTACGTGGCGTGCTGAAAGCATGTCTACTATACACCGATTAGTCCATTTGTTGGTGTGAAGTATGTAAATGACTCAGACAACTTACGTTCAGTTTTCTTCTCATGGTTGGACCGAGAGAGCGATGAAGAGCTCGACGTTGTGTCTACAAGAATTAGTGTGCTAGGCATTTCGCGAGATGGGCGAGCAAGAATGACTGCAGGTTGTCTAGACCTTGTTGAGGAGACCCGAAGTAATAGGGATGTTGTCATTAATGAATGGAAGTCGAGCCGTGAGAAAATATAGCATCCGAGATTGTCGATCCACAACTACATTAGGCCAAAGTGGCATCATGTACTATCGGGACGCAGGAGCGCGCACAACAGGAAAGGAATGAAGCCAGGGAGACAAGTACAGAGGGTAAGAACACGAAGAGGCCAGTTCAACATGTTGGACTATATTACAGAAACGAGGTCCAATAACCATCATCACAACTTCGCATTGACCTTGTCATTAATCCGAATGACAATTTTTCCAAATTGACCTCCATGCTTCATCAGCTCGAAGCCTTCTTCTGCAGCTTCAAGTCCCTCGAGGACATGTGACACTACTGGGACAATGCGGTGTTCGGACACAAATTTGGTCGCATCGGTGAGATCCTTGTGGGAGCCCATCGTCGAACCTTACACACATTCAATATTGGTGTTCGAGTAGGGCAGGAAAATTTACCGATAACCCGCTGATTCTTGAGCACTTCTCGCATGGTGAACTTTATTTGGGGATTTGCAGTCCTGTGGCGGTACTGAGCAACGATTGCAAGAAACGAACTTCCTTCGCTTACATCCCATAGACCACGACTTTGCCGCCCTGTTTCAAGATACTATTCACTCGTGTCACGATGTCTCCACCGCCAGAGTCAATAACTGCATCAATCTTCGCCAATTTTCCGCTGTTGTTCGCTAGAATGGCAGCAAGTTGTGATGGCCAATCCTCTGCGAGATAGTTTGATCAACTTTAAGACCAGTGATTCGAGATCGTAAATTCTCACTCGATTTGTAGTTCACTCCGCCCTTGGCTCCAAGGGCAGCTGCTTTCCGGATTTTTTCCTCGCTACCACTCGTAACATAGACATTAGCGCCTTTGGCTAGACACAGTTGCATGGCAAGAAGTGCCACTCCTCCACCAATTCCGGTAATAAGAATGTTTTGACCTTTCGATGCTCCAGCATTGACAATTGCTGCTCTAGTATAATGTGATCAGCGATAGGATGGACATGGTACCACGACAAGGATGTACCTCCAAGCAGTCAGGCCACCAAGGGGCCAAGCGGAGACTTGGACATCATCAAGATGATCTGGAGAACGAATAACCTGATTTCTCTCCACTATAACGTATTCGGCGAACGTTCCTAACGGAGGGTTCCGTCCACCTCCAAGGATTCCGAAACCGTTTCTGCGAGGCGTGAGCCAGTGCCAATCAATAAACATGTGACCTACTCTGTTTCTGGTGCGTCTGGTTTGCTTTCCCAACCTCGCATGGGAGTCAGAAAGACGCGTTTGTTCAGGAGTGCATCGTTTGAATCTGCCGATGCAACCACCGTGCCTGTGTTGATATTCTCAGTTTCATGAATTCAGCTTATTACCGCAACAAGACCTGCTCCATCAGCACCAAAGGTGCTCCCAAAGTTGATTCCTGGGTATTGACCAAGGCGTATCCAAAGCTATCAAGACGAGATGTTTGGATGAGCAACAGATCCTCGCTACAGCCAATACTCGCTACCACTGGTCGCGTCACTCACATCTCGATGGTTGAACGATACAGCTCCCATTTTCACAAGGATTTCTCCTTGTTTGAGTCGCTGCAATGAGCGTGTCTCCAGGACTGCATCATGATAGATAGGCTTTGCCTCCGCGGGGCACTTCTTAACGACCAATGCTCGTGTCGACTCGGGAATCCTGCCAGCCATCATAATAGTGAAGGGAGAGTGGAATGCAGACCACTTGAAGACTGTCACAATTGCTGGTATGAGATTATGAACATATTTGCTACATAACCGTTTACCGGTCACCTGAAATCATGGGCGGTGAGAATATTGCTGCCAGCTGGTGATGTAATCGATTGTACTTTTTCCATTGACAGAGTTAGGAGCCGAAAATGAGATTACGTTCCCCTTTTCTTTTCAGCCATCATGAACACTCGTTGCAGCGTGCCAGTCATCGAGGCAGAGGCCCTAGTTCTGGCGTTATCTTTGTTAGATATTGAAGAAGTCGAAGGATCACGCAAAGGAAAGTTACGGGAGGATGCCTGCTTGACGGACGAAGAAATTGCATTTAACATTCAGGCAGAAAACTTGAAGATCTCCTTGGCCGAACTTCAAGACCGCAGATTTGCACTTAGCCTTGATGAAGCACTTCAAACCGATACTGCGGCTCTCAGGGCGTTGTCCCTAATCAACCAAGGTGAACGAGACGATCATCTTGCTGCCCTTGCCCTTGAAAGAGGAGACAATTCACCAACCCCTACTCATTCACAAGAAGCACTTGAATGGACCAGAATTCCGCCGTTTGTAAATCTTATTCTTGATTTTATATGTTACTGACGACCTTGTAGTGTGTGTGGCTCCACTATGTTCGGTAATAATGATATTACAGACATAGTTGAGCCAGACCCAGATGAAATGGATGATCTCGGTGAATCTTCTCATCTCCCCTACAATGTGGGAAAACTTTCAGCTCGCGGTGAGACGCTATCTCGGTTAGGCACAGTTTTTATTTCACGACCTCGACCTTATACTGCTTTGCTACAGGGTGGAGTGTATCATATGTGGCGATCCTATCAGACGTTCGCAAAGATTCGATGCTCCATGCTCGCATTTTTACTGTCGAGACTGCCTTGTAAACCTTGCCGAAGCATCTACGAGGGACGAGACGCTTTACCCCTTGCGGTGCTGCCGGCAGCCTCTCCCTGTCGCGAACGTCCTCCCGTTGCTTCCATTGGACTTAAGATCCCAGTTTCAGGACAAATCTGCGGAATTCGCAACTCCACCAACTTCACGGGTCTATTGTCCAAATCAAACTTGCTCCACGTTCTTAGGCTCATCTTCTGGCGGCAGGTTTGAGATCACCTGTACAACTTGTACGACACGTGTATGCTCCGCCTGCAAGAACCGAGCCCATTCAACTGAAGACTGTGCTGAAAACGCGCAGTCCTTGATGATTCAATCCCTTGCATCTCAAATGGGTTGGCAGACCTGCCCGGGTTGCCACGCTATCGTGGAACTTTGGCAGGGATGTTATCACATGACCTGTAGATGCTCAACGCAGTTTTGTTACTTGTGCGCAGCACTGTGGAAAAATTGTGACTGCCGGCAATGGGACGACCAACGCTTGTTAGATGACGCCGAAAGACGTGTATACAATCAATTCGGTGCTCGTGAGGCAGCCGCGCACCCTGCAATCTTCGTGGACCGCGTTTACCAGAGGATGGCGGAGTTAGAGGAAGATCACGAGTGCCTTGTGCACGAATGGGAGTACAGGAGTGGCGGCGGTCGTTGTGAGGAGTGTCACGATGATTTATGGAGGTATTTGATGGTAAGATTGTCATCTTTGGAATGTATGGGCTGTGTGCTTACAATGCTTCTCAACTCAAGCGTTGCATACATTGCCAAGCCTTGACCTGTAGGCGTTGTTCAGTGAATCGGCTTTGAGAAGCAACATTAGTTATGGGGTTGATGTACACATGACCTTTGTATATCTCGGTCAGCTGGTCGTAGGTCTAGACGTCTATAGTTAGCGTTCGGTCCCGGCGCAAGGCTCTTGCCTTGTTTATCAATGTGAAATGATGCACAGCTCCATGGCATAAGGCACCCCTTAGAGTGGCCCTTCTTAACGTACCACCAATATGGCTGCTATAACCAGCAGCGACCTGGAGGCCGCCTCGCATACCACAGAGTGGCTCGCTCAACCCATGACAAGCGAAAACCAAATTGACGCATCTTCTCTTTTTGGTGGAACACCCCTTTCGGACATCTCGCCAAGTCCCCAGCTAGAAGCATGGTGCACTCCACCCTCCTGTTCTCCAGAGTTGAACTGGTGTGCGACGTGAGCGATTCTCTCTTGACAAGAAAGACCCCTAAGCACCCTGGCGGCTTATAACATTGTATTCACAGCAGTGCACAGATTGTCACGAATGACGAGTGGCGCAAAGCTCCACAAGATAGAAAAGCGACTTTTTGTTTGTCACAAATTTTCATGAAGTTTCTGAAACGAGACCAAACTCCGTGAGCATCCCCACCAAACTCTAACTTCCTTGGTCCATTACTAGCCTTACCGCTGTAATAGAGTAGAATGTATTGCCTGTGGAGATAAGGTCCTACCAAAGCAAAGTATCCGTGCGCCATGTGCTCATCACTATTGCCGGGAATGCATATCGAATTTCGCGAAGGCGTCCATGAAAGACGAATCTCTGTATCCCTTGCAATGTTGCCAGATTCGAATGCCAGTAAAGAAGGTCGCTCGACAATTACCTAAACCACTGCAGACGCGATTTCTTGCCAAGTCTGTGGAATATGCCGTTTCGCCGGCTACACGAGTGTACTGCGCGAATCAGAAATGTTCTGCGTTCTTGTGCTCCTCAGACACTCGCAAGGCGAACATGACTTGCCGTATATGTGGCACTACGATGTGTCTCGCATGCAAGAACAGAAGACATCCGGGAGAAGGATGTGTAGAGGCAGGAATGCAGAGAGACTTGAAGAGACTCGCAGACGATAAAAGCTGGCAGTCGTGTCCTGGCTGCCGGGCGATCATCGAACGTACAGATGGGTGTAACCACATCACGTGCCGCTGTTCCACCCACTTCTGCTATCGATGTGGGGCTCGCTGGCGCAAATGTTTTTGCCACAGGGAGGACCACTAAGTACTGTCACAACGGGAAGTTATTACACGATAATGGTGAGGCCCGTGATATACTTCTGGGTTGTTCACTGATTTCTTCTTGTTAGTAATGTCAACGATAAGGATATACAGCACAAAAGATAACGTCCAGATCTCTTAGATGTCTCATTATGAACTTGGCTCTCTTTTTACGCACAATGCACGCGCGTGTACAACCTTTGCAGATTGACTACATCGTTTGTATCACAATTCGAACCAATATGTGTATATTTAAGCATGTTATATCCTCGGTCCTCGGCTCATATGTTCCAGTTACAGTAGTTTATGACTTTGTTCACCTGCTCACAGCAGAATTATCACGAAGGTAAAGTTTCAGAATAGATTGGTGAGATGTACGAGGCACAACAAGCCTAAAAAAAAAGATCTACACCCAAGGGGCCATGACGATGGGTAGAGTTAGACATCCCACGTGGAAACGCACTGCAGATGATTCAAACCCACTCCATCGTAGCTTTCATCGTGCAGAATTTTATTTTCTGTTGTACGGTCAAGTTCTTCTGAGTGAGGAATGTCATACTTTTGATGGCTAAGAGCCGATATCGTCCCGCATATATCAGGTGAGTCCCTGAAGAAGCATCATCGTCCACTGTCCCTGCGAAACATGATGTGTCAGCGAAAACGTCTTATCAGAGAATCAAAGGACGCTGCAGTATCGTCAAAGGGACCTTGCCCTGCCGGTGGATCGTCCCATGTGAATACGATGGCCCGCTTCAAGTCTGAACTCGGAGTGCGGCATGCAAATCAGAACTGAAAGGATAAAGAAAGTGGAGCACTGTACGCGATGGCTTTCATCAGACAGCAAAAATGTAGCAAACGAGTGTTGCGATGGAGGGATTGTATGACGTCTAAACAGGCAAGGTCGTCAAATAATGGATAAGGCATCCAAGAAAGGGTGGAGTCCAGACGGATTTGTAGGGACGATTACGATGATGAGTGACTCGATGCGAGGAGGGGATAACAAGAGTATGTGGTGTCGAGGGCGACGAGACATCCTCGTGCCACGCTCGGCGCAATTTCGAAATAATTGCGACGGGCGGATACGAGAGATCCTTGCTGAGCGCTGAGCGCTGAAAGGCAAACGTTGACCAGTTTGCACAGTGCACAAGAAAAGAAAGAGTGACTCGAAGTCGCTGACCTCCCTTTTATCTCCGCATCATTGCCCGATGAGGAAATTCGATACCACCACTTAAAGGTGTTACTGTACAGTAGTACTTACAAACTCGAGGGACGCAACCAGCTGGGTGACTTAAGCCCATATCTGATTATCTGCGAATGAGTGTATCGTAGACCTCAATGCATTTCTTCCTCAATCATAATTACCTATTGTCGATGCCCAAATCATACACGGGTCTATTATGAATATGAGTATTGATGGTGCTCGGCACCACACATAAATCATGCCGCATTCTACTCCTTCTGTGCATAGTGCCAGATTCACCTCACTGAACGATCATTCAAAACTTGCCCCATAGACGTCCGAGATGGAGGTACCGTGCCACAACTAGCAATACAACAGCAGATAGAATCATGCCACCTGAGGGAAGGTTAATGTTCACTCAAATATTGCATGTTTCGTGAACTTGCCTGCATAATAACCTGCAGCAACGAACCCTCCTGTCGCAGTACTGATGGCGCCTGATATAGGAGGACCAGCAACGCCTCCAAAAGCAATGAGGGACATGAACATTCCCACTCGGCGCCCCGCGTCTTCCATTTTTCCCATTGCCACGGCAGGTGCAGAGTACAGAGATACATATGCTCCGGCGGAGAATCTGAATGGGTGAGTCGAACAGCTAGCTATGAACAAGTGAAACGCGTACCCGTAAAGGGTGGCTATTGCAATGAGCTGCGATTCATTTTTAGCAAACGGCCAGGCGACTGTCATGACTCCCGATAGAGCAATGAAGGGCAACATAGTGTTGAGTGCGCCTGGTCAAAATATTGGTTCGTATTCCCGTAATTCAAAGCTGTGGAGAGCAGAGACATACCGAATTTATCCGCCAGTAGACCAGACAACAAACGTCCAAAGGTAGATGCTGCATTGGTGATGGCGATTATATAGAATGAAGAGTCTTTGGAGACGCCAATTGCTACTGCGCTCACAGACATATATGTGAGCTCTAATCAAACTAATATATCAGCAGCGATGATAATGAGCGCAACGATCGTACCTGTATAAATGCCTAAAAGTATCATGATTCCTGAAATGCAATAGATGGTATACGCTTTGTTGCGGAATGCTTTGAGATTAAAGAGTCCCCCACGAACATCGACGGGTGGAAGCCGTCGTTTCAGTAACTTGAGGGAACTGCGTCAGAGAAAGAGGCATCCACAAACGCCGACAACATACTATGTTGGCCATCCCAAGAGTAGCCATCAAAATGAATCCAAATACGCGGATTGTCCATCTAAACCTGAAATCATATCATATGAGCGTTTATGGACTGCCCTACGACTAGTCGAACAAACCCAATTAATGGAATCAGATTTTGTGCCGCTACAGGAAACACAATGCTGCCGAGTGGAGCCCCAACGGCGGTGATGGATAAAGCGATACCACGTTTCTTGGAGAACCAGTGTGACACGATGACGATTGCGGGACTAAATATGATACCGCAGCCTACTCCCACGCCGACACCTTGTGTTAGGAAGAATTGCCAGAATTGAGTGCATTCCGCGATTAGGAAAGTGCACGCAACGATGACGCAGCTAGCGGCGAAGAACGGTAATTTAAAGTACCCCAGGTCAAACAGTCGCCCCGTTGCAAGCGCTGGAAGGTACGCGAGTGCATACTACGAGGACAAGTGAGCTACGCAGGTTTCCTAGAACAAGAATTAAACACACCTGCGTAGAACCAATCCATGCTCTGGAGAGTGCAACAAATCAGTTACAAGGTTGCATCAAATAAACTTAGCAGCTCACATAGTTGAAGGAGAATCGTGACGTAGTAAATTTTCCTCGTAATACGCTTGGAAGACCTGAAAGGCGGAAAATTGTAGGAACGGCAAGTGTATGGTGACAAAACCTACTTACGCCCCATGAATTTATAAAGCCAAATCTTGTATGCATTGAGCCCAGCGGGCGAAAAGAAATTGAGATTGACTCACGTAGAAAATGAGACTAATGTGACACTATTGTAATCCGAAGACGTCAGTCATTGGTTTAACGAATTGAACGTGTACTTGCGCAAAAGCCACAAGCCACGCCCTTATTCCTCCGTCCGGTGCTTCGCCGAGGTGTAGTACAAGCTTCTGAGCAGCCTGTTCATTTGGTATTTCCTTGTCGACGACTCCTGTTGTCTTCTCCCCATAGTAAGACAAACTAGGTTTGCTTTTAGACGCAGAGTCATCGCCCTGCAAGGCCTCTACACTCAGTGACTTCTCGGACATATCTTCTCCTGCCAATACAGAGAGAAGAGGTCAGAATCGACGGAGAGTGGTGGGGAAATAAACTGTACTGGTATAAGCAAATCATGCTGCCGGCGTTATGTATGTGTAGTATTCTCCGGGACACATGGCACCTTCCTATAGCCATTTGCAAGATCCTGAAGGTCGGAAAGTGCGCTATTCCGTCCGTAAACGGTCATTTAATGACGACACGAATACAAGGTCCGAAAATAATTTGGACTTGCTGGCGTTCGCCGGTCAATGTGAGGGATCGAGCTAGATCACAGGCAAGCTCGTGCCAATAGGTATCCAGTGGGTATTCAGTGCTTTGCCAATAGGGGAGCTTAGTGTTTAAACGCCCAACACCCAAGCCCAATGCCCAACACCCACCGCCCCACCTCGTGATCGAAAATGAGTTAGTCTCCCCTAGGCGGATCAAATAGAAGGTTGAAGACACTGGACAGCAACAGTCCGAGTCGTTCCTTCTTCATGATGAAAATGAGTACACATTTAGCTAAACTCGGAAAATTAATAAGTAAATACCGAGTATTTGAAGAAACTGCCAACACGATTTCAAGGCTAGGTTCTTATTAGTCTCGTATCGTGTTGCAATTGGCAGTTTCACCTTTTTAGAGACCCTGTTACTCTTGGTTCCATAGATAAACGCCCACGACTTCAAGTACTTGGTCACGGTGATGGTTGCGTCACTAAGCGCTGAGACGGGTTATGCCGAGAAGGCCAGCAAGCGCAAGTATCTTTTTTCGGTGCTTGTATTTGCATTTTCAATACCGCCAACCGCCCGTTGTCAACTTGTCATCACTCATCGTCGTGTTCAGTTCTTTATTGTCATGGTCCTGATACAGCTATTAGTCTCGAGCTAGGATGGTAGAGTTGAAATCAACATCGCTGGCGCTTCCTACAATAACACATCGAGTGGTCGAACGGAAATTTGCAATGACCTCTGGCCCTCAGGCCTCAGCTTTTGCAAACACCTCTGTGTATTGAGAAGTCCTCAAGCATAAAAGTTTTCCCGAGCACACGATGGATGGAAAATGAGTGCAACCAGTGGCAGGTATCTTCTCAGCGGGCTTGGATGGGCAGTCCAAATGGAAGTTCAGGCAGTCTTGGGTCGGCAGGGGGATGTGTACGCGTGAGGTGGGTTTATGATAAGATGATTGTTGCAAACTCATTGTCCCACATATCGCACACGGTTTGCACATGTCGTTCTCTCGGGCAGGTTCTGAGGGTATGCTTTGATGCACCTATCATCGCGATTCAGAATACGATTTTTTGCGTCAACGTCGAAGGTAGGTATTGCTAAGTACATTTTCAATGTCCACTTTGTACAACACGTTATAATCAAATGAAACACGAGGCTTACCATGAAAAAGTACGTTACCTCTTCGCGAGGTGAACATCCGGACCCGGCTGCTCAGTGGAAGCTCGATATCTATCAAAGTTAATCAGATCAACTTGAAGCCATCCCAGCAGACAAAAACCGAGTCATTGACCGATGTCAGCATTAATTATAATCCAACAGTTTGTCTGCACGTCATGGTGGTGCGAGCAACGCCGTAAATACTGGAATGAAAATATGAAATAGAGACAGACTGTAGCAAGGCGAATGCGCAGGCCATGAAATAATGACGGATGGTCATATTTGACTGATATCCATGACTACGCAATAGCGGAGCTAGTGCAACGTGCCAGAACACAGTAGAATCAGAGATAGACGAGAGGCGACGCGCAGATCGCGGATCGCCATTATACTGAATTGATGTGCAGCTCGAAGCTGCTCGATAGGGCAAGGGGCTGCATCCACCTGTGTGGATGTGGATTGGGTCGACGGCAATCCAGCAATATCCATAGTAAGTATGAGCCTGAAGTTTACGCCTGTCGTTCTTATGAGCAAATAGAAGCAACCATGACATACCCACTAACTTGGCCTTGACCCAGTGGTATAAATACCAGCGTTCTTGCAGGCATTATATTACTCGTTCGATGTCGGATCCGAGCGTTTGATACAACATACGAGAAGTTGAGCGGGACCTGGATCTTCGGATGACTTAGCGGGGAGGATATCGTTATCTTTTCCAAAGTAAGCCGTGGCGACTTGCAGATTCGTGGTTGGATCCCATACTCGTGCAGAGATGTAGTTCAAGGTAAGCTTTTTAAGGGACTTACGTGAATATGACTGTCGGAGATAATAACGCAAGGTCAATAGCCATGTGCGACGGCACGCAGACGAGCTCTTGACCGAGATCCACCTTGGCGAGACGATAGACGACAGAAGTGGAAGTTCCAGTCGTTCCAATACCAGGAGGACCCTGGATCAGGTTAATGGGCTTCTCTAGAACGCTATTTGGCATACGTTTGAGAGTTGTTGAGTTCTAGAAGCCCTGATGAAGATCTGCATGCGCGAAACCTGGAGCGCAAGATCATGTCCGAGAATGTACGTGATACTTGCGAGGTGTTTAATGACTTCAATAAGATATAGGAATAGGAGGAATGAACATACGATGCAGTCATTAACGCTCCTTCTGCAATTCGTCAACAGATGCCGTCCTTGCTGCATGGACCTGCACCTCGACATTCGACATTCTAAGAATGCCTTCCATCCCTGGTGCTCAAAGAACCTCAGCCCATTCGAAGGAATCATATCTTCGTCACAATCCGTGGAGCCCAGCACAGCTGCAAGTATCGTGTTATGTGGGAAGCATCTGATATCAGTGGGCTCGATGAGAATGCGTCAAAGAGTAGTGCCATTCACTTGATTAGGTGTCGTACCATATCGATAAAGTATGTGCAGAATCTTGCATGTATATGGGCCAACCAACATGTGGAGTTGCGCGTGCGCATGGTAGTCGAACTTGTGCATGAAAATCTGTAGGCGGAATCAACTTGTAGTAGTGAGGAGAAGCAACGTAACTCAGCATACTGAGAAGGTAGTTTCCAGCCTCTGAAAGATCAAATGATGCCTGCAGGAACGAAACGCTGGTTCTCCCTCAGGTGATGATAGTACCGCAGCCAACGAAAACCAATTTACTTGGTCACCTATTAGTACAAGATCTATGCGACAAGATATCTCTTGTGGACTGATGTGGCTGAGAGGTTGTATCAACCACGACAACTTGAAGCACAGTGAGCGCCTACTAGCAGACAACGGCAGAAAGAAGCGCTGAACGTGGAATCTGTATGCGGGACACCACGTGTCTACAACATTACTGACATGTGGATTCAGCGGTAGTAAGCATCCTGTAGAAGATGCAATTTAGCGACCACTCACCGTAGCGCATGTAAGTGACTGCTCCCTCCTCGATACTCTTGTTGACTGAGTTGCTGAACAAGATCCAATGGCGGTTACCACTCACGGAGCATCGTCAACTCGAAAGGAACTACCTCACGTTGAAATGACGCTCAAGGGTCATGAAGATTGGGTGAGAGGCGTAGCTTTCATCCCTGGTACACGTCTCCTCGTCACTTGCTCTTGGGACAAAAGTCTTCGGGTGTGGGATTTGGACACGGGGAAACAGGTGGGGGAGCCCTTGTTGGGTCACGATCATGGAGTCGAAACGGTTGCCGCATCCCCCGATGGGTGTTGGATTGTGAGTGGAGGAGAAAACGGAAGCATCCTGGTCTGGGAAGTTGAGACAAACAAGCTTAAGAGAGTGCCAGTCTCGTTCAAGGGGCATAACAGTTATGTTCAGGGCGTCGTATTTGCACCGGACACCGAGACATTTGCAAGTGCGTCAGAGGACGAAACAGTATGCGTGTGGAATAGGAAGACGGGCAAAATTGTCCTCGGGCCACTCCGAGTGGGCAGTGAGGCAAACTCGGTGGCATACTCCCCCGATGGAAGCAAACTAGCAGCAGGCACGCACGAACACATCATCGTTTGGAATCCAGAAAATGGAGAAGAACTACTAAAAATAGAACAGCGGGCTTGGCGAGTCGCATTCACTCCAGATGGTCTCCGTCTCGTCAGTGGAAACAGGAAAGACATCCGAATCTCAGATGCTACCACTGGAGACATTATCAAACAGTTTGACGCGCACGTCGAAAATTTTATCTCACTAGCCATTGCTCCCAATGGCACCAAATTCGCCACCACATCCAATGATAAAACGACGCGGTTCTTTGACCTGACCACATTCGAACCCATCGGCGAGCCGCTCGAGCACCCTGATACCGTCCGTTGTGTAGCCTTTTCCGAGGACAGCCAGCTCATCGCCACCGGTTGTTGGGACAAGCTCGTTCGCACATGGACAGTTCCTCAGAGTGAATCAGAGCAGGCGAGCAAATAATCTCATGTCATGCTTCACGCTGACTTATCATATAGTCTGAACAGAAAATTCTTAAAGTACGCTCCCTTTCTCCTCATTGCGTACTACCCCTAACTTCAGCCTTGCAGAAGACCATCCCAGGCCAAAAGCCTCACCCGCAATGCACCAGAATCCCGCCTAGGTTCTTCAATGATGTAAGTCTATATGGCACAGTAGTCTCAATGCACATCTCACCATCCGTTTGTAGTTTGATACGCGTTCCCCACCTGGACGCAACAACCGCACTACTACAACCACGCACCATGTCGAAGGCTCACGAATGAAAAACATTATGACCCGTCTCTTTTCTCGTTCCTCCACTCCTCAGGGTGATACTCCCCTCCCCAGCAGGATCCCCACTGTGGATGTCTTCGCAACTCGAGGCAAATACGTAAGTTTGCCGAGCTGTGGCAATCCATGATCCCGTTTTCATGACATTCCCGCAGCGCACCGCTAATGCCATCAGCGGGAAACGGCATGTGGTGCAGCGACCACGTCCCCCTCCCAAACCAGCCCATACTTCCAACACTGGTGTAGCGAATGCTGGTGCTTCAAGCAGCAGCGCACCCCCAGTGGGCACATCCAATGCGACCGATGGAACTGCCCCAGAAACCTTGCAGACTGGAAGTACCAGTGCTTCTGCTGCAACCAACGGACCCCCTTCCCCGCTAGACATTGAATATGTTCCAGACGTTGGCTGCTTTGCACGTCTAGCAAGGTGTTTCTCGTGTCTTTCACGCACTTAGCAAACAAGTACTGCATTCTCCACCTGCTAAGCGGTCACTCCCTTGAGAACCTTTCGTTGGAATAGAAATTACCATTGCATGTGTTTGACGATTTTTTGCTCCTGATAGACGCCTACCATCATACATAGCATTCACTGAAATTCAGATACCTGACTTTCTCAACAGCTTTGTGAAATGATGAGCCTATACCTTACTTCGTCCCCATGGTGTCACGTCGCTTGGATGGTCAACCTAGTATATTGACAAGCCATCTATAGACTGGACCAAGCTGCTGGCGATCGCCGACAAGAACAACCTGCTTACAACCAAGCACCAGAGGGACCATACATCCTGCTTCAGGGTCAGTCGAGGAACAACCTATCAAGGAATACAAGCGCACCCGCTTCAGTAGCTTGCGTGGCTTTGTCGATCAAAACCATCCTGAACTTGAGCTTGTTGAGGCGAGGATCACCAGCACCCACGCATGTGCAGCAGATAACATCCGCAGCACCCAAAATCTCCTTCTCGCACTGCCTGATCAACACTTTGTACTTCTTCTCATCATCGGAGCTCAATTCTCCCTGTTCGTTTTTCAGCATGGTCAACTTCTGCAACTCCACGTGAGCTGTATTCAATTTGTTGCAATTATGTATTGTACGGATGAAGGATCTCGCTAGAGAATTACATGCCTATCAGTAACACCAAATTCAGCCAAGGGGGTGAAAGCAACGCGTTCTCCGAACGCAGAAGATGGTGCACAAGCGACCTCCGGAGATATGTTGGGCTGTAGGTCGATGCCCATTGCAGCATCGGGCGTTGATATGTCAATGAAGGATTTGCGAAGGTTACATATGTGAGCATCAATTGGAATTTGAGTAGGAGATAGGGCTGGCGGAACGTTGGCGAGATGACGCGATAACGCGATAAAATCCAAAACGAAGCTTGGCTCTGCACCACGAGCGAAATAAGCTGTCATGCAACGTTGAGGGATATGGAGCTGATGGCAGTGATGGCCTATCAGTGTATCAAATAGCATGCAAGCGGGAGTTACCGATTCAATCACGGCCCCTCAAAAGAGCTTGTGTCCGTCAGACCCGCGCTCATTCACCACGTGAACTACTTACAATTCATTTTCGACACTCGGCCAAGACGTTCAACGTTCAGATTACTCCTGTCGCTCATGAGCCTGGGCCCATTCGGAGAATCAGTCATGGATATCCGGATAACATCGTCGTGATCCGTGAGCTTGTGATGTGAGAACTGGGTGTTAACGTGGAACCTATATCGTTAGCTCTATCTCCCGGAAGGCTTCATGGGAGACAATATTGAGTATGTGAGATGCGGAGCAAATCCAGATTTAAATGGGAGGAATCGATGAGAATGCGTGTAATAGTAGTGTCCCGTCAGCGCGCTGATCCTATAACAAAAGCGGTTTCTGTGCAGACTCTCGCTTATAAGTATATGAATCAGTTAATGTGGAGTTGCGTGTCCAAGTGATGGTCAACTTGCACATGAAAACCTACAGGCGGAATCAATTAACGTGTACTACAATCAGGAAAAGCCACGTACCAGTAATCGAGCGTACTGAGGGTAGTTGCCAGACTCTCACAACACGATGCCTGCTGGAACGAAAAACTGGTCCTTCCTGGGACTGAGGTTATGATACTTGTTTCACAGCCAACCAATATGGACCCATTGATTTGTTGCATCCATTCGGTCATCTATTAGTGCAATGCGAGAAGTTCAAGAGATTGATGGGCCGATAAATTGTATCAGCCACGACATGCCGAAGTACAGTCAAAACGGTCGCGGCGCCTACTACAAGCGCCCAAAATATTGTTAACAGTGAACACGCGGACACCACGTGTCTACAGCGAGGCCGACATTTAGATTCAGCAGTAGTATCCTGTAGAAGATACAACATAGCAATCACTCACCATAGCAGATGTAAGTGACTGCTCCCTCCTCGATGCTCTTGCTGACCGAGTCGCTGAACAAGATCCAATGGCGGCTACCACTCATGGAACATCGTCAACTCGAAAGGAACCACCTCATGTCGAAATGACACTCAAGGGTCATGAAGAACGTGTGGGCGGCGTAGCTTTCATCCCTGGTACACGTCTCCTCGTCACTTGCTCTGATGACGAAAGTCTTCGGGTGTGGGATTTGGACACGGGGAAACAGGTGGGGGAGCCCTGGTTGGGTCACGATGATGGAGTCCAGACGGTTGCAGCATCCTCCGATGGGTGTTGGATTGTGAGTGGAGGAGATAACGGGAGCATCCTGGTCTGGGAAGTTGAGACAAAAAAGAGAGTGCCAGTCTCGTTCAAGGGGCATAACAGTGAAGTTTGGGGCGTCGTATTTGCACCGGACAACGAGACATTTGCAAGTGCGTCATTGGACAAAACAGTATGCGTGTGGAACAGGAAGACGGGCAAAATCGTCCTCGGACCACTCCGAGTCGGCAGTGTGGCACGCTCGGTGGCATACTCCCCCGATGGAAGCAAACTAGCAGCAGGCACACAAAAACACATCATCGTTTGGAATTCAGCA